CCCCCCCCCCCCCCCCCCCCCGGGACGCCTGGTCCGGTGAGAATCCGGCGTGCTCCGTCCCGGCTTTGTAGGGATGCGAGGACGCGTGGTCAGTTGTCTAGGCTTGCAAAACATGAGTACGCCCCCCCTCCTTTTCTATTTGACCTACATATAAGGGGGCGATGAGACGCCACCTTCGTGCCTCGTCCCCCGACCCGCCGGAACAAAATAGAGATGGATTCGTTGTGTCACATTAAGAAAAAAAAAAAAATTACCACAACCCTTTCGACTGAGGTCATATATCGAACGGGCAGTCTTTCTGTGAGGTTTACTTTCTCAACAAATATGCAGCCGCTTCGCTTAGCCCCCACTGCCCCCTGTGCTTAAAGAGACGGTAGATGCAGCAGCAGTACCCACACGTGCTGCTGCTGCTGCTGCTGCTGCTGCTGCTGCTGCTCCTCAGTGAGTCTAGCCTTGATGGAGAATACATAACGAAGAGGAGCAGTGCCCGTCGGTTGTTCCAGATTGGTCTTTGAATTTATGTTGGCAACAAAGTTGTTAAAGTTGTTATCGGGTCCTCCGGGAGGGTGAGGGCGTGGGCGTAACTTTGTTTTTCAGGGCACCTTGCTCCATACGATGGTTGCTGCGTGCTGGTGCTAGCACACGACTTAACAATAGATGGGTCGGCATGGCGTGCAAGTTCGTGGTATCGAAGCCAGAGGGCACGGCGAGCAACCCAACCGCGCAGGTTGCTGAACCCCAACATTTCCCCTCTGTTTCGCATTGTCGTTGCTGCTGCCAAATATTACAGGAGCATCGTACACCTCATGGCGTCGCTCAGCCTTCGGCGAACCAGCTTGACCTCCACCGCCACCACCAACACCGCCTCCACCACTTTCGCGACCTCGTCCACTTCGGCGAGCTCGTGCGAAGGAGGGTCTGAAGGAGAAGCAGAGGGGCCCTCCCTTCCGGGCTGCTCTTGCCTTCCGTCTGGCTCCCCGTCCGCGTTTCGCCCTCTTCCTACCCTTCCTCGTCGTCCAGATTCCGGTGCGAAATCGACGGCGGCGGCAGTAACAGTGCCAAGAGCTCGCCGGCAAGACCACCGCAGCCGCCAACGTCAGCACCCGGCGGCAGAGGCGGCGGTGAGTGTTCTCGGCGGCGGCGGTGGCGGCGACGACGACGTTAACCCTAAGGCGAAGACGACCAAGCCCCTTACCTGCGTGGCCCTCTCGGGTTTCGTTCCGGGCGGGGGCGCGGCGGTCGTCCAAGAGCTGTCCCTCGATCTCAGCAACGCCTGCCGCGCGCTGGCCTCGTGGTCGCTCACCGTGACGCAGGTCATGGCGGAGGAAGAGGAGAACAGCGGGAAGCTGATGCCGGCGCGCCTGGCTGACCACATCTGGCCGGGGTCGAGCGCCCTCGCGCTGCGGCAGCGAGGCGAGCGCGGCGGTGGGAAGGACGGCGGCCAGGGCGGAGGCGGCACCCAGGCGGCGGGCGCCAGGCTGGAGCCGCGGCGGCGCATCACTCGCGTCAAGGTCAAGAGCGATGTCGGCGTAACCGCGGCTTCGTGGCCGTCAACGATGAGGCGCCTGGAGTTCGGGGGCCGGTTCAACAGCCCGGTTGAGGGTGTCGACCTCCCCGCCAGCCTGGAGGTGATCAGGTTCGGTGATAGGTTCAACCAGCCGGTCAGCAGGGTCCGCTGGCCGGCGGCGCTGCTCGAGCTTGTGTTCGGGAACGACTTCAACCAGCCGGCCTCGGGAATGGACCTCCCTGCCGGCCTCCGCCGCCTGGACTTCGGTGGGCGTTTCAACTTTTCGGTGTCCGCCGTGGATTTGCCGGAGGAGTTGCGGGAGCTGCGGTTCGGACAGGGGTGAGTGCGCGGCGATCGTGTTTTTTTTTGTTTTTTGGGGGTGCGGGCACGGCCGAGTAGTGTTGGTGGCCTTGATTGTTTTCAAGCAAGCGTATTGCATGACAGAAGTCGCGGCGATCGTGTAGATTTTGGGGGTGGAGGTTTAAACGGACACGGCAGAGTAGTGTGGGTTAGCAAGTAGAGTCTTGCACGACAAAAGCAGTTTTTGCGCTCCTGCTTGGGCCACACCTACCACGCACCCCTGACCTCCGCACTTGCTCTCGCCCGCGCCGTCCTCTCCCCCCGCAGCTTCAACAGGGAGATCTCGAACGTTCGGTGGCCGCCCCTCCTGTCGAGGCTGGACTTCTGCGGGGAGCTGCAGCAGAGGGTCGAGGACGTGGCCTGGCCCGGCACCCTGAGGTACCTCGCCCTCCTCGGCGACTTCAACCAGCCGATCGACGCGGTGAAGTGGCCCGCCGGCCTGACGACCGTCCGCTTCGGAGACCGCTTCCAGCAGCCGCTGGCGGCCGCCGGCGCGGCGAGGTGGCCGCTGGGCTTGGAGAGGATCGTGCTAGGGAGGGGCTACAGCAAGAGCCTCTCTGGGTGCGTGCCACTTCCCGAGGAGGACGGGTCGGCGTGTCGCTCCCTGTCGTGTGCCCGGGGGGACGGCCGTGGGGGTGGCGTCTCGCAGCCCGTCTCCTCCCGTAGAGCTCCTCTCGTCGTTGTGAAATTCGGCGACGACGATGATGGCGACGACTGCGGAAACAACGGCGTGATGATGCTGGCCCGAGAAGGCCCTCTGCCGACGGCGGAAGAAGACGACTGCGGAAACAATGGCGTGATGATGCTGGCCCGAGAAAGCCCTCTGCCGACGGCGGAAGAAGACCAAGGGTTGGCGAGGTACGCGGTGGAAATGACAACGGCGGCCGCGGCGGTGTCCGCCGAAGGCGAAGGGCCTGTTCTTGATGGTGGCGGGGGCGATGACGAGCACTACTGGGACGATGAAGAGGGAGCAGAGGAGGGTGAGCGGGCGCTTCCGTGTTTGGATGTTTTCGGTTTCGAGGATTGTGCGTTGGACGACATGGGGGAAGCGTGGGATCCATGCCTTCCTCCTGGGTCGTACGATGCCGATGACAGTGCTGACCGTCTTTGTTTCTAGACGGGAGTGAAGACGTTTACATTTTATAATGCTCGTACCTGTTGTTCCATTCCATGCCCTTTGTGTTGATTTATCAGGGTCATCTTGTCTTCTCGATTGTTCGTGCTTTTTGGACTTTGCTTTGTGTGCGTGTTTGTCTGGCCACTGCTGTGTATCCGCCCATCCGTTCGAAAAGAGGAGTGGACATGTTGTTCGTTTCATTTTGTCGTGTCTACCTGTCCAAACTAGACTTGCTTATTAGAGTTTTCTGTCACTGGGGCGTACGCGAAAGGCGCGTCGCAAGGTTGTTTCCATATTTGGTTGTACGGCTTCTTGTTGTTGCTGTGTAGTGTGCTGGCACCGCGTAGTCTATCGCCCGTAGCCATTTTGTGTCGTGTGTGTTTTCTGCTTCGGTTGGGGACCGAAGACTTTTTAGATTCACAATGGCATGCATCACCATGGTGGGTGGCCCAGTGGCCCCTCTTGGACCGATTGCGCACGTGTTTGTGGAGCGCAGAGCTCTCCATCTTGTTCTTTGTTATAATGAGGTGGTAGGAAGGAGCGTCTTTTTGTTTCGTTCTTGCCGTTTTGTTGGGATTGGACAGAAAGAGCGAGATAGCGAAAGAGACGTTATCTCTCCTGACGTATTTTGTTTTCTTTCGCCGGAGCTCTCCTCGTGTGGGTTGACTTTGTGTATTCTCCCCTTTAGGTGTGCCTGTCTTCCATTGTGTGTCGTGTCTGTCTGTTTCCTATTCAAGGGATGACTGTCGTACCTTGCTTGTATCCGCTTTTCCCTGCGTTTGCGAGACCCCGCTCTTTGCTTTTGGGCCACATGTTCCCCGTTTACTTTCTTTTGCCTCTACAGCCATCCTATCGGGCCTTTTCAAACAATTTTCATGAAGGAAATCTTTGCCTACTACATGGGCAGCATGGCTAGGGGTACGGGGACCAGTGGTAAGGTTCGTTTTGTGGCTTGTTATAGATGGATGGCCACACACCCTTGTATATCGTGGAGTGATTCTAATTTGTGTCGAGCGCGGGGCCGCGGGTATGTCTAGGGGTTCCCGGTGTAGTAGATCCGGAGGTTCTGGTTGGCGGAGGTTAGAGCTGTTTTACGGTGGTTGTAGCAGCACGCACCTGCGAGTTTGAGTGTGGGGTACTGCTGGGAAGGGAGTACGCGTGCTGGGATGCTTGTTGTCGGGGGGAGTAGTCGTGGATCGCGGTGGGTCTGCAGGCTTGGTTGGTGGGCCATCGCGTTTGGGTCTCAAGAGTCTGGCGGCATGTTTGAAGGAAACAACAAAAAAAAAATGAGCTTTTGACAATGCTCTGGGGTGGTACTTGTGTTTGGGAATACGGTAGTGGTCGTAAATGTGTTGGAGTGGGAAATTACATGAGTTTGGTATGGAGCGGGTACGCCCATGGGGCACCCCCCGCGCATCTAGCCTGTTTGTGTGGTTGTGGCTGCGAGGTTTGTCGCCCTGGCTTCAAACTTGGTATTGTATGCTAGTGTTCGGTCCGTGTATCGGTGACCCGTGCTTGGTAATAAGCGGGTGAGTGTCGTCTATTGAGTCTGTTGCTGCGAGAGTGCACCTGGACTTGAGGTTCGGGTGCGAAGTTAAAGAGGCGCGTTGGGAAGGGAAGATGGTCGTGTGGTGAAGTGTGTCGTCGACACAGGGTTGTGGTAACCGTTTCAAGTCAAGACTATAGGTACGCTTTTACCAACGAAAATCAAGTACATTTTTTTTTTTACGTTTTTGACTGGAGGGCAGGAGGGGCGATTTGGGTCGGGCCTAGTTGATTTTTGATAGGAAGTAGCATTTATGTGTTTGGTGGCTAGTGTGGGTGAGAGAGGTCACACACCCACTTATTTCGTTCCTCATGGCGTTCCGTGTTGAGGTCCCGAGATACAGTATGTTGTTTTTCTTGCACGGCCGCGCTGGTTGCGCGACGGTTCTTGACTTGTTATTTATTGGCCGCGCTGGTGCCGCGACGGTCATTGACCTTTTGTTTTTAGTGACGGTCTTAATCATATTCTAGAGAACACGAGCGCCCATAGGAACAACTGTTTGCACCCTACAAGTGGGCTTTTGTACCTTTCGAAGAGCACCGGGGTGCGAGAGAAGAGACTACTGCTGTACCGCCGCTGCAAAGTTTGTCCGAGAAAGCTTTGTGCCAGAGGTTTGAAGCAGGTTTTAGTTTTAGCGAACATTTAAACGGCTCAGGCTGGAAGAGGGAGAGCCGAGGGTGGTTGATTCTGGCAAAGAATTGCGCGTCGAGTGCGTGGTTTAACCTACGCGTAATTAATCGTGCGTTGAACGTGCGGCGGCGTCCCTCGTAGTTTTGTGGGCAAAGGCTTAGTGCAAGACGGGGTGTCGCTGCAAAGGAACCAAGAATCATTGCAATTACGAACCGTGTGATAAACCCTAAGAAACCGGCCTTTTGAAACAGAGGGGAAGGTCAAGAAGCACTCGCTTCATGTGTGAGGATCACTATTTCCTTCCCTCTATAGTATTTCGGCATACGCTGCTACCTTTTTTTCTTCAGGGACGTAATCCTGTGTATTGGAAGTAAACCCCGCCCTTTTCCGCTGTGGAGCTGGTAGATTGAAAACAAGCTGGCGTATTGAAAAAGCCGACGCTGCAGACAACAAGTCAAGTGGGTGGGTGTGCGAAGCGGGGAAGCCTTCCCGTGCAAAGTGTTGGTCGAGAAGCACGATGGTGATGACCATGACCACTTCTTAAAGAGTCTCCATGAATTCCGCAAGTACGTACTTCTCCAATAGCCTCGGCAAGCCGCGCGCCGGCTGTTCGCGCAACACAAGTCTTGTGCCGCTTGATTTCGAGAACACTTCGTTCGTCGCAACCACCCACGCACGCACGCACGTTCAAAGGAAAGCGGACCTGGGATTGGAGGCCGCCCCGCATGACCGGGATGAGCGGGGCATTTTTTTGGAAATATGCTGCCATATTGTGAAATCATTTTAACAATCAGGACGACGTGGACTTAAGTTCAACGAGTATACATCAAAACTCCATCACGAACCCCAGAGCAGCGCTTGTTCGATAACGTTGCACGAAGAGATGCGAAACACGCGTTACCCCACCCCCCCTACTGTTCCAGTGCTCCATCGACCCTTCCCCCTCGATGTGTCTATTCTAGCGAAATATGTCGTTCGGGATGGTTGTATTTCATCGACACAAAACAAAAAACCTTGGATAAATCCTGTTACAAAAACATGTTCATAGTACACGCTCGCACCCTTGAGCAGACCACCGCATCTCCTAGACGACTGCGGTCATGTGGGCGTCTTCATGAAGGCCGTGTGAAGGCAGCATTTTTTCTGATACCATCTCTCCTTTCCCTTCGATATCTGCCACCCAACGAATTCACTGTAGGCGACTTCCAACAAAACCAGCAACAAAACACAATCAATACCAGAACGATACTCACGTACATGACTACAACCACCTAACGAATAGTGATAATTACAGGAAAGGTTGAGTAATCAACGCTCGTTTTGTTTACCTTACGCCCCCCCTCCCCCCCCCCCGCCCCTCCTAGCATGTCGGGGAAAGCCGCCTAATGTACTTCGTGCGATGCCCCCTGCCGCGTGTTTCTGGCGTGTACAACTTTCCACACCCCTCATCCTCGGCCGTGAAAAAGACCTGAAATACAGTAGATGAGTCATGCAAAAACTGCTTTAAATGTTGGTATCCCAAGTAGCACTGACTAGCCCCAGCGAACATTTGTGCACATGCTCACGGCCAAAGCCGCCGTACGACTGATGACATGAAATGGTATCTTCCCCGTGCTCGCGGACATCACCGACCGTCCCAGAACATGTCGGCTGTGTTAGACCTGGGTCGGTGAGACGGGGCGTTGATCGGCGCCGCCTGAGGTACGAGAGCCGGTCGAGCATTGGGGAGGAGGTTGACGCTAGGGCACATCGGTGAGGTGTTGGGATTCCATTGGGCGGAAAAGGCGGAGAAACATTGGGCCCATGCTCAAGCTTGATCAAGAAAAGGGTCTGTGTCATGGTGGGCGAGGAGAGAGCTTGGATCAGATGTGGCGTGCTTGTTTGGTGGTGCCTCGTTCTTCTTTGATTAGTGTTGTTGTTGTTGTTGTTGTCGTATTGTTGTTGTTCTCGTTCTCGTTGTTGTCATGGGACATCCTTATCCAAGGACTGCCGTCTTTTCTCCGATGTTTGAGGGGAAAAAACCATTTTCCCGGAAATACCTGGCAAGATCGATACAACCATGGGTGAAGAGAGAAATTGGAGGCGAAGGGGGAAACAACAACGACGCACCGCTCAAGACCCTGGCGACGATGTTGGAAGCTGCCTCTCGGAACCCTCCGCTTGGGCGGCGGGGGGCGTCCGGGCCGAAGCCGCGGTCATCGTCGCTGGTGAAATCTCCCGCGAAGCTCCCGGGGCTATGAACCTTGCGTGCAAAGAATGGACGTGCGGTAGGAACGTGTGTGGCATTTATAAACAGCCTATTGAATACCGAATTGATCATGAATCTCGTGTGTCACTCATTCATCATTGTCCATTTGTATGAGCGAAGGATTAGCATGGACAGGACAACAATCTGATTGACTCATCGATCGATCACTCAACAGCGCTGTGCCTGATTGAGGGCTTGCCGTTTCGACGACGCAAACATCCGTGGGACCATGCAACAGGTCGCCGACTAAATGGGGAGGACCAGTTGGCATCGGCGCTTTTTCAAAGGGTGAAGATGGATCCACGTGCTTTCTCAACATGGCTGCGATTAGAAAAAAAGCTTGCATGTACACACCAGATACTCGTCGACTTCATCGACTTTCGTGTGTCCCGTTCAACATTGAAATACGTGAAACGCTTGGGTTTTTCCCGCCAACCTCCCAGAACTTGGCCGTATGTCAGCTTGACCCCGAGTCGCTGTTTCCCCGTTTGTCGTAACACCCTCCAACAAGAGGTGCTGTCGCCACCCCCCAAACTCTACGGGAGGCTGCACGTTGAATAGCTATATCAGAGTCACCTGGCCATATGAATCTTCGCCTTCGATGGACAAGACGTCATCGTTGTCCACGTGGAGGACCTTTCGGTAGTACCTTTGGTAGACATTGGGAGTGTTCGCAATGAGAGGAAATAGCGGTGGGAGTGTTGCTAGGCGTTTTCGTTTTCTGGCCGCCACCTTTTCGATAGCCTGCTGTTCCAACCGTTCTGCTTACGTTTTAAGGATACTACTCCCCTTGATATATATTTCGAGCTCGAATCTTCTGCAGTCGAAACGGCGCGGTGTTGGAAAGTCTTGGCGAGGTTGTTCGTGTAGTTTGCGGTCGGCAAACACATCCGGGCAAGACTGATGTTGTGAAGGTCAATCCCGTGTAGTTGTTAATTGTCATACACGACGTACAATATCTTCCAGGTTAACTGAACTTTGGAAATCCAACGCTTCATTCATACTCATGCGGTTCTGCCCAGGTTGTTTCTGAAGGAGCTCAATGCGTGGAAATACGTTGAGACGACCTCCGTACCCAGGTGCTTTCCAAGGATAGTATCCATCCATCGACGCTACGATCCTGGTCTCTGTCAAACAGCGAAATCATGTGAGTGGCTTTGCTTTCTACTCCTCCAGAACAAGACAGTACAAGAGAGGGATAGGGGATACAAACAAGGGCGACGCCCACCAGAGAGCAATCGCCGCTCCTCTCTCACCTCACGCCTGGCTTGTTGGTTTTGTTTTTCCGCGAAAAATAGTTCCTTTGACGATGCGCACGCCTCTTCTTCCTGCGGATTAGGAGAGTTACGATGCCATTAGACAAGTCGTGTATGCCTGCGCTAGGAGGGTGGTAGCGCGAGCTTTGGGTATGCCAGCCGACGCCCTCGCAGGCATACCGCTATCATCCGTGCGGTGGAGTGAATCGTGCGCCGAGGGTATTTATATGGTCCTGCGGCCATGCCGGGGTAGATGCCATCAAGAGGGGGGCACTCTCATCCCCTTACCCCACCCTCTCTGTCACTGAGCAAGCTTGGGGTCCTACCTGACGACAACCGCGCCACCAACAAGTAGTGCGACCATGACTGCAGCGATAGCGGCAACCTTGTAGGACCTGCCTCCGTCTAGGAAACCCTGACTGTCAGAGCGATCCCGACCGAGAATGCTGCAGTGCCGATGGTGGCACAATAAAGAGAAACGGACACATGAGTAGATGTGTGTGACATAGGGTGGCGATAGCGGTACGTTTTGTGTGGTGGGCCTGTATGTCAAATGCTGGAAGTTTGGTGTGCGTCTGGTTGTGTTTTCCGTATTTGTGTTGTCGAAAGCAAGCAATATGCTGCATTGAGAAATGGTGTAGGATGACCAAGCGACGTAGAGGGAAAAGCGTACATACGCGGGGTGGGCAGGGTTGTAAAAGGGGGTACTGTAGTACGATTGGCTGCAGATATCCCATCCTCGGGGTACGGGGCAGAAGTGTGTTTCAGTTTATCGTCGAGATGTGTGCTCAAGAGCGACCCTCTTCGGCAATGGTTAGAGCACCTTTTCCTGAAAACAACCCATCGTTGATTGTCAACTACAAACAACGTGTGGTGGGCGGTTTCCACAAGAACATGTGTTATGAGACAGGCCATATGTTGTCGACCCACCTTTCGTAGTGCTCTTCTTGGTGTTCGCCACTTGAGAACTCGTCTCTCACAGTGATGCTTTCGCATTCCACCTTCGATGGTATAAAGACAGAAGATTGGTACATTGACAGAAACGCCAAGAATTGGACTCTGATGAGAGCAGTGCTACAGTACATGAAGCAGTCGGTCTCGTTGGAATGTAGACGCGCGTAGCATCTGTCACTGAGGAAGGGTTGACCAACTTAGCGACTCCGCCAGCCAGCGCCAAACAAGTAGCTTATTCTCGCTTTAACGGCTTTACCGTTAGTGTTTGCAGTCCAGTTGGGGTAGGCTATCGAGGCCACCCCTCATAATCCATTAGTCGAAACTCGATCAATCTCAAAACAAACTGTGAAAATATGAAAGTTTGTTGTCGAAGACCGAATAAACTGTAGTTTATTGTGCACGGAAGAATTCGGAACATCTCCCAGATCTACGGTTGTATTTGGGTTCTTGTTGTGGCGTGTTGGTTGAGTTGTCTTGGTTTGGTTTTCTGGGGTCTTACAAAAAGAAAGGTCTCACGGAGTTCTCATTCTGCTGCCTCGCTGCTCCTGCATCAAGAGGATGATAGACGCGTGTCTACTGGACCAAGGGCCACGTGTTGAGGAATGCACAGTGTGTAACACGCAGCCCGCGTCGGAGGGTCACGCGGGAAGGAGGGCAGCAGCTAGCTAAATCGAAGTTTGGACCCGTAGCTAGCAGAAATTCGTAGCTTTTCTTGGTTGTTTAACATTGCATGTTATTCATTGCCCGCCCCGGATCCGACTACCTGCTGAGGTGGCGGCAATGGTCGAAGGTGGGGGATAGGAGATGTTACGAGTGAGGACTCACCTAGGAGAGGCTTAATATTTCTGTGACTCGGAATTGGTGCAACCGTTTGCCACGTAGAAGTATGGCGTAGCATTGGGGTGTTTTCTGAATGGTAGTGCGTACCATTGGGAGGCTCAATCGTCCGAGACTGCTACTGTGAAACAGTTTCGTCCCGTCTGGTAGTATTCGGAGGGAGATTTCGTGTTTAGAAGCAGAGACACGTTAGGATACCGCAAAGGCTTTGTGCCGTGCGGAACGTGTGGTACGGGGGATGTCTCCCTCCGTAGGCCACAGAAATATTAATCAAGGCAATTAGAAAGAAAACAACAAATAGGTGATATTTTGAAGCAACGCTCTTCTGCATGGACGGCTGCCCTTGTGAGACACAAGCCCAATCAAGCCCTCACCACGGAGGCAAATGGTATTGCTTTTCACCTCATGAAGGACAGTGAAATTACGTGTCAACATGCATCGTAGAGTAACAAACATCTTCTCCCGATCATTGAGGGGATCTCACCTTACCGAGTTCCTCGCCTAAGAGATTGCTTTCGCACAAGAACCCAAGCAGGTTCATGTTCTCTCTCGGAGACCGCTCTTGCCACGCGGTTGCTGCCGGTGTCATCTGAACACACCATGGACCACGCAGGCGTTGGAGGATGGGATGGTTAGCGCGATTCTTACGCACGTCAAGACCAACCAGTGTCCTAGGCATCCGCCGCACTCTGCTCCACTCATGGCGCTCACCCGCGACTCTCGCCAAGATGAACCAGCGTCCTAAGCATTCGCCACATTCCGTTTTACTCTCTCGGCGATAGAAGACGACTCTCGTTTACCAACAGCATCTCAGCGGAAAGGAACTGCGACCACGACTGGGTGGCCCGTTGGATCAAACGTAGAATCGAAACAATGTCGTGAATTTCAATACTATATGTAAAGATTGAATCACGCTTGACCAGCACAGGCGAAAGTTCCTCGAACGGGGTGTAGGCGGGTGGACAGTAACAAACAGGGAGAAAACGGAATAAGCGCAGTCTACAACACACGTACTCTGCAATCGTCGCCGCTTTAGTCAAGCAGTGGCTTTGGCCCCTACAGTGCATGTTCCGATTGCGCCACGGCGTGGAAGACAGAATAAGGGGGCCTTCATTCGGCATTAAAGCCGTTCTGAACTCTACCGAACAGCTTCGCACTCCGCCGTTGTCCTTCGCTATTGTTTTATTTTGACGTATTCTCGTGCAGTGCTATAGTAGATTGAGCAACTAAGTACAGGGCGATGTCGCCCCACCATGACAACCCCTCGGTACCTCTGGTACGGCGTGTTCCTTCTTTCAACTGATCGAGAGATTGAGGGTGCTGCAGAATCAGGAAGGAATACATTGAGATATTCACCTTGAAGGTGAGTTTCAGGGGGGGCGTATCAGTACTCGCTTCTCCTGCTTCGGCTGCTGCTCCATCTTGCTCTAGAGCTGGCGGGTCTACTGGTTCTGATCCATGCTTCAGGTCTTCCTCTCGCACTCCCGTATCTCCGACGGAGGACAACGGCGATCGGGCGTCGCTGACAACAATGACGTCGTTTTCCTCCTCCTCCTCCTCCTCCTCCCCCTCCTCGCCCTCGTTGTCATCTTGGTAGTCTAGCTCCTCCGCTTCAGAATCGTCACTCTGTTGTTTGGTCGCAGACAACGTTCTTTCATCATTTTTCGGCGCATGGATTGGCGCGCTTCGTAGCTGCGAAGAGTCCCTACGCTGCTGTTCGCCACCCGCCACTGGGGTGTGCGTTCTGACGTGCCCGGCGTCTGCTCGTAGTAGCGCCAACCGTCGGCGTTGGTGGCTTCCGTGGGGGGGATCGGCATCGACATCTTCCGATGCGGACCAATCGTCGTCGTCGTCGTCGTCGCCGCTGTCGTGACTTATGACAGGCTCGTAATCGTTGCTATTTTCATAGCTTTCGTCGCCGCCTTTGTCGTAGTCATAGTCTGGTTTCGACGCGTGCTTATTGTCGTTGCTACCATCATTGTTGTTGTCGTCGTCGTCGTCGCCACTGTCGTAGCTTATGACAGGCTCGTAATCGTTGCTATTTTCATAGCTTTCGCCGCCGCCTTTGTCGTAGTCATAGTCTGGGGTCGACGCGTGCTTATTGTCGTTGCTATCATCATTGTTGTCGTCGTCGTCGTCGTCGCCACTGTCGTAGCTTATGACAGGCTCGTAATCGTTGCTATTTTCATAGCTTTCGCCGCCGCCTTTGTCGTAGTCATAGTCTGGTTTCGACGCGTGCTTATTGTCGTTGCTATCATCATTGTTGTTGTTGTCGTCGTCGTCGTCGCCACTGTCGTAGCTTATGACAGGCTCGTAATCGTTGCTATTTTCATAGCTTTCTTCGCCGCCTTTGTCGTAGCCATAGTCTGGTATCGATGCGTGCTCGTTGCTGCTGTTGTTGTCACTGCTGTTGCTGTTATAGTTCTCGTACGCGCTGCCGTTGAGGAGCAACAGCTCCAGCCTTCCTTTTTGGAGCAGCAGCGAGCTTTCCAGTGCTCCTACCAGGGCCTTCATTTGAAGCGAAACGATTCTAGGTGAGATAATTTCTAACGCAAGCATCGATGTCATGCTCTTCTCCGACGGCATACAGCCACGAGCGCAAACGTTTCGTTCAGCATGATCAACGTTATCGCCGGCGCTACACCCACCCTCTGTCCGCTTCGCACCTCCACGGAGCCATAAGGGGGAACCAAATATTATCTCTACCAATCTCACCTCGGTATTGTTCGCCACAATATCGCCTGGCAACAATCCCCTCGTTCGGAAAGAGAGCAGGGCGCTTGGGTAGCTCAGAGAGAACATCTCGCTTTCGCTGTGCACTTGTGGATTTAACGTAGAGGTCACCTTGGTTTGATTGAAAAATCGGGAGCGAGCGCCGATTAGCCAGGCAAGCAGGGAGTGAAAAGGGTTCGGAACGAGGTACAAGAACGGCCGAGGGGAGGGGCAGAGAGGGCGGAGGGAGAAGTAAAGGTATCTTCAATGGACTTGGCCCGATCGCTCTGGGCGATCTATGGGCGTCTGGTGTACCGCAGAGAAGGCGATCAAGCTCTCTCGGGCGGTACTACATATATTGTGAGCTATTTAGCTACAATTATCAGGCCATCACAACGGTGAACCGCCATGGCCGAAGAACCACTCGCACCAAACAGACTTTACAGCAGTGCCATCGCCGGGATACCGGCTGAGAGCTTGCAAACAGCCTACTTGACTACCACCCCCACCATAGGCTTGAAACACCATGGAGATAGCAACACCACCGGTTCAAACACCCGAGGCCCTGGAAACGAAACCCCGACGGGGGGTAACCAATAAAGACTATTCACACTGCCGTGGTGAAGGCGTTGAATCAAACAAGCGCAGTCAGGTCTCGTGGGTGATACGGACGGATGATAGGATGGGACGGTCCTTGCCTTCCAGAAGTAGGATGGACCCACAGTAGGTAGTTTGAACTCGTCTCGCGGTATTATCACGTCCGCCGCTTGTTTCGAAACCTGAATTTCGTCAGATTGCCACATGACCTGCCGTTTGTGGTTGGCAGGATACGGAGCGAAACACGGAGCGATTTCGTCCGCGTATCGCAGTCAGCAGCTGGTAGTGGGCGATGAGGTCATAGGCTACCCGCTTCGAAAACTTGGTGCGGATTGACCTACCTGCAAAATGATTCCCACGGTACTACAATAGGACCGATCAAACGGAGTTTTCGCATCATGGCAGGGAAACACATTGTCGACAATTTGTTTCCTACCCCGCCTCACCGCTTGGCGCCGCCACTGGTCCCTCGCTCTCAAGTTCGTGCATGACAACCGCATGTCCCATACCCTGGCATGGAAATATGAGTCTATTCAAACGTGAAAGTGCGAGGATATGGCATGCTTGCTCGCCTTCATGTATTGCGCAGGTTTGGCGCAGTATCCCGTCTGCCTGGGTCGCGAGTCTCGATCGACCTGGGTGGCGCACTGCTGGTAGTACGGCGAAGTTGGGTCTTGCACGCAGCCGGTTTGTTGCACCTCTCTCACGCTGTAACTATCGGTGGTCTTGAAGGGGACGCATGTCGTCCCACTCGTGGTTACGGGAATCGGGGATCCGCTGAACAGTTGCACCCGGACCTGAGACGAAAGACAAGTCCAATGACGACGTGTTGGTGCTGCTGTGTTCATGGTCCAGAATCACCGCGTGCCTCGGTCTGTGATTTTCTTCCTACACGCTGTTGAGTGCAGGGTGGTTGCCATCGCCTTGTCTAAAAGGATTTTGACAAAAACAAATGATTTAAATCAGCTCACCGGAAAGGGCTTGCCGGTAAAGGTCCATTCAATCCGGCAGGAGTCCCCTTTGTTGGCGGTAGCGTTGACGATGGTGTTGGAGATGGAGATGCCAGGAGGTGCGATCATCTCAAAGGACGGGGAAACACTTCTCGCGTTGCCGGAATCGTCCCGCACCTGTATGAAAGAGAAGGCTCTTTCAGTTTCTGCTGAGCGTTGAAACATGGTCTGCACGCGACAACACCATTGTGGCTCAATGCCCAACACCGGAGGAACAACCCTCGGTACCCGGTGGACAAGCACTAGGACTTGGGGGTGGCGGTGGGTCAGTCGTTGAGCGCAACTACAAATCGTTCGCCGTTAGGAAAGTCTTCACCTCAATCACGTAGTCGTCTCCAGGAGCCACGCTCGCCATCTGTGACATAGGTACCACCAGGGAGCCGGTGGCCGGAAGCCCTGACCCCAGCTGCCGCACTCGTCGACGCACTGTGGTGTGAGCAGCGCTATCGCCTTCACCGTTTCCATCATCGCTACTGTCTTTGCTGCCCTCGTCGCTGTCAGCTGCGCTATCGCTGCTTTCTTGCGAATCCGGTTCGTCGTCGCCGTCGTCTTCGGCTTCGTCGTCTGTCGCTGGCTCTATCTCTGGCCCCAGCAGGTTGATGACGATGGGAGAGTGTAGGTGCTTGGACGCCCACCGAATCTGGCCAACGGGAAAATTTCACGCAACGATTCTTCTGAGATCACACCAAATCATCTGCGGACACTTCGGTAGGCGGGTTGAGGGTTGAGTACAGGGGTTGCCTAACGACCGCTGAACCTGTCGTCAAGCCCAGCTTCAGCAAAGGGTGTGGGGCAGGAGCTTGGGTTAGGGTTAGTGTAAAGTCGACCAGCGATGCCTTCGGCAAAGCGGGCAGTCTGAAAAACAGCCCACATACACCGCGCCGGTTTCCCGGTGCGCTCCCGCATGTCTGCTGGAAGATATCCAAATCCAAATTACGAGAGGAAGACTCTCCACCGTTTGTTCTTGGCTGCACGCCAAACACAAGGCTGTTCACGACGAGACACTGCCAGTAATTCCTAGCTGGTAAAAGTGGGCAACTCCATACAATTTCGCCATGTCCACAACCCACGGCCACAGCATAGGCGTCCTCTCCCCCTGTTCAATGCCGTTCTGCGCCGCAAAAGATGGGGCAACCTAGGGACCGATATCTTCCAGCGTCAAACAAACCATTTGCTAAAGAACGTGCGGTGCCTGCCCTCCCCTCACATTCAGCGAAACACGCCTAGACCACATGTACGCAACGACGAACCTCTAGATCCTTGTCCAGCTCCCACTGTTGGGTCGGGAACTTGACGATCTCCAGCGTTGTGTCCCTTTCCTCCCCCGACGAATCTCCGGCATTGTTGATGCAGAACACGTCGCTTTCGTCTCTAACCGCCGCGTCGCGCGCGTCCGAAACTGAAAGTGTGAAGCAGCAGCTGTCCTCCTCGTCGTCGTCGTCGCTCGAAGAGCTGGTATCGGCGGTGGCGCCAACGCCACTTTTGCTGCTGTTTCCCTTTTGGTTTCCTCCCTTTGGCCGCCGGCCGGGGCACCAATCAACCCCCTGTTTACGGGGCCAACAGACAAGAAACGGCACGCAACAAAGAAAAATAAACCAAGAAATTCCCTGGCCTCGGGGAAGGTTACCTTAGGACCCAAGTGGATCCTTATGCATGTGTGTGGCGACCAGCAACTTCAGGAATGTCACACACAATACACCTTTGTGGGATGATAGATGCGGGTTATTTGTGCGGAAGAGAGTCCTTCGCAAATCGCTGCTCGTATGCTGCATACATTGAACAGAAGCAGAGGTCGCTGGCATACCCTAGGAGAGGAGAGCACGCCGAATAGCCCAGCGGCCAACCAAACAGAACGTGTAGGTGGGAGTTTGCTGGAGGTTTACCGTGGGTTCTAGAAACGGATCAACCCGGCATGAGGGCACTGCAGCCTTCATTGATCGACTATCGACAAGTCGAGCAATAAATATTCATGGCGTTCGTTCATGTTCCGGTTATCTCGAACAACGAGGAAGGCGCTACTCTTAACTCGAAAAAAAGCGTTAGCTTATGGAAGCGCAGTGCGAACTTGTCGGGATTGGAGAAAGTCGACGGAGGAATGTATCCCAAAGGGGTTCCATCCTGTGTTGTCGCGAGAACGACAACGTTTGCCGGGGACAAAGGGAAACAGAGATACCCCCCTCCCTGCACAGCGCCTGTATTATTGCCATTCGTAATTCGGCCTATCGGTGTTCTCGACCTGCCACGCATCGACCAACAATAGTACAATAGTATAGATGACCTCAGCAGCAGGTCTCATTCCTCACTCAAGACAAGACCTTCATGGACGCACCAATTCCGAACGGAAGGGAATGGTGAACCAGAACCCTCCGGTGTTCGGGATCGTTTCCCCGCGTTCGAGGAGCGTGGGGCGTTCACCCTCCTCCCCCTCATGGTCGCTGTTTGCTCTCTTCAACTCAACCTGTTGCAATCGGGGCGGCCGAAAACGACGCCGAGTTGGCGATACATGCACATGGTCAACACGTTCCAACGAGAATTATTTGGCATTTACGCAGAGATCTTACCCCATTGCGAGTGCCTTGTGGTGTACTTTATTTTCTGGCTTGGGTAGACAAACAGAAAAGGATAATAAAACCTGGCACTGACGGCTCCGTGACTGATTTTCGTAGAAACGGGGTCTGTAGAAACGGGATCAAGTTTAATTGGCACGCGTAGATGTTGGATACCACGACCTTCTTTGGAATGGGTGCTTCACGGTGCCCCCCAAGAACCAAACTCACCGTCACTCTTCCGACAAAGTTGGTAGACCAGGAAATGTAGTACGACTGCCCCGGTTCAAAGACGTCTGCATGCAACCGATTGTCGAGCTTTAGAGTGGACGAAGCACCGGCCCATTCCGTCGGCAGGTAGCTAATCACCTGAAAGAGGCAAGGAAATACGACCGGCCAGCGCGTGAAGCATCAGATGGCTTAATCGGCTCTCTGCTGCCAGATATGTCTGCCGGTTGAGAGAGAAGAGGAGAGAGAGAGAGAGAGAGAGAGAGAGAGAGAGAGAGAGAGAGAGAGAGAGAGAGAGAGAGAGAGAGACTACCGAGAGAAACTGCGAGTTGGTTTTCCATGATATATGGTTGATTCCGGGAGCACACGCGGCAGCGGAGACGCGCCGTATAACCGCCTTTTGTTTGCCGCATGACGGCCAAGAAAACCACGTCGATGTCGTACCGTCCACTCTTCGTAGCTAGCTCTTTCGTGAAATGGTACCAACGAATAAACATGTATTGTCAGGGGCCCTGGGAGATGTCGTTGGTGACCAGGAAGGATAGTTTCAACCAAAACCACTCACCCCGAACTCGGGAGACACGTCGGCCGCCTGGTGATGCAGCATAGACGATGCTCTGAGGTAGTACAGCCCGTCTTCAGGCTCGAAACGAGGCATCGTCGTCGTGACTACAGAAGAAGAACCTGAAACCGGGGTTGAAGATCCAGGGACCGTCCAAACAGGCCTACCTCCTTGCATGAGCTCCAACTGCGTACAAGGCAGACGAAGAAGACGATGTTATTATGTAGTGACGGTGGTAGGCAGATGTATTTCGACATCGGTTCCGTAGAAAAGCAGTCTCATGAAATGCATGTCCTTTTGTTGCCTGCACGCAACCCTCAGGTAGTACAAAGGTCATGTGTTCCCTTTCAACTATGGCCGGGTTCTGTCGGCGTGAGGCCCGAACCACTTAACGAAGTTGCTCTCTGGTTAGATTGGGTTGCTTTATATCGGATGGGGCTGATTCATCGCCAAACTACCATGCACCACGACGGACGACCGGGGGTATCGGACATACCTTCTAAATCTCAAAGCGCGACAGACAACCTATCACACTCACCAAAACTGGAAGAGGGCCGGTCTCATCCTGGCCGGTGTTGCTGACCTCTATCCTAAGAGCGACATCCTTCGTCCACACGTGCCCAGTCTGGCCTCGGAATATATTCCCAAGAGAAACCTTTGGAATGTCAAGAGAGAGGGAAGGAGAAGGGCGACCCTAAGACAATAATCGTGGGGGTTCCTGATCGCGAAAGTTTGATGTGCAGGGTGTGTTTTGTGTAAGTGTATCGGTGCTTTCGCGATTGCTGGCCAGCACCCCAGCATGTCCCCGCAACGAAACGGCTGTTCAACCCATATCTCCGGGAAATGCCCTCTTCCGATGCTTTGAACGCAACACAGGTGCAGGCTGCCTCAAGCAATATAGTGGGGTGTGTTTGCACGGCACCAGATTTCGTGTTGGATGCGAACGTGTTAAGCACGCTAAAACGCGGACGCTGTGGTACATCGGTCGCCAGGTTGAGCTAATGCTTTTCGCCATAGGTCATGTAATTGCTTGAATAATTAGTGACCTCCATCGTGCGGGGACACAAGTTTTCGCGTGTCTGCAGGGTTTGGAAACCACAGCTACCGAGGCGCACCTCCGGCTGCGCGTGGCCGATGGTGAAAGCACGAGTGCGAACGCCTCTTCCGATTAGGTCGAATTCTGTCTCCCCTACGCCGCCAATGATACGGTGGTCTTGCCAGCCGTCATGGTGCTCGTCGGCATCCTCCAGTTGTAGGTAGTAGCCGGCACCGGTGGATATCTCAGGAACCTGAGCAGGAAAGGGGGTTGTTACGATGTTGAACATGTTCCACAGGCAAGCAAGCGGCAATGGAGGCGGACAAAGCTCTTCATCAATAGTTGACGTAAGCTCGTGTTACGTTTGCCTGGGGGCACTGTTGTCCGCTTTGTGCTTGGAGAAACAAAAAAGGGTTAATTGTTGGCACAAGTATCCTCTAAGTAAATGGATCCAATCGCCTGGTTGATATTTCACCAATATCCCCTCTGTCCCGAACGAGGAACAAATTTCTGACGGGGCTCATCCTCCTACAAGCCGACAATCAATCAGAGGCGTGTTTCCTACTGTCGGCATGGTCAAGTAAGCAGTCAGGGGGGTCCGACATGCAAAGCGATGGTGACTGTGAAGAACTGGTCTTGAGACTACACTACATGAACCAACGTCTTCACAATTTCTACCGTTATTCTGCTGTACTACTGTACAACAGTAGTTTCACACCTGCCAAAAAAATTCGTTTCCGTTGACCCCCTCGAACAGCAGAGTCTCGGCCTCCCACTCCCACTCGTTTTGAAGAGTAATCCTAACTCTGTGTGGTCGCACGTTGGCACATTCATTACCCCCGAAGCATCACGCATTGGTTTGATGGGGGGCGTCAGCAGTCTAGGAGATGTGATGTGGATCGCCTGCTTCGATAGGACTGCAGAGTTCGTTCCCGTCAAGAGTACAGACCATTGGCTGCCACGCCAGCTGGGTTCAGAGAGGGCTGCCAGCCGCGCCGATGGATTCGGTGCTCAAGACTGAATCTTTTCAGAACAGTTTATTGCCCGGGACCAATCTGCTGAGGGCGGGAAGCACCACATTTCCACAGGTTTGTTTACGTTTCACGACGTGGGCGCTTTTCGAGGCGAAGTCGGCTGGTACAACAAGTATGTTTTAAGACCTTGGCTCCCCCCTTGAATGTTAGACAGTGGCTAATCCACTAGACTTCTCAGTCACCGATGAATAAGCAGTGAAATGGACTAGCCTTTACCAGGGTATCTACATAGCGTTGAAGCCCACGCCTTTCCTCACCTTGCGATGTCGGGGCTAGTCCATGTGACAAGAAACCTCGCACCAACGGGAACGTATTCGCCAAGAACGGGAGACAGCAGAGCCAGGGGTGGCGTTGTCGCAGGCGATGGGTCGCCCACCAGGAACAGCTCCGATGCCTCCGTGCTCTGAATATATTTGTAGCCACCCACAGGGTGCCCCATGAAAAACACGTCGAGGATACACCGGGACCCGAGTTTCTTAAAAGCAACGGGAATATTATATCATTGTACGGGTTAGATCTCAAGCAGGATGCACCCTTCCTCGAAGAAATACAAGCAACCCGATAGATGGCCCATCCCGAGTTCTCGTTCTTCGCTAGCGAAACAGTATTGCGGATGGAAATTCTTGTCTGGATGAAACTACGACGTTCAACAGACAAGGAAATGCCACAGGGTGGAAATTGTAGACAAACTCGGCTAGTGGAACAATTCCAAAACTAGTCGACTCAGTAAATACGTTAACACAATAGAACCTGGGAGGACAGAACCTCAGGCCCACCAAAATCGAACCTCATGAACGCATCCAACCCCCCCAAAAACACAGGTATTTAGGGTTTCGCGTTCTATTGATACTCAAACCTTTAGGCACAGTTTGGGTTACCCCTTTGAGGAAATACATATACGAGACTAACGCGAAACACAAGGTTCTTTTATGGTGACGATTTCTATAGCTGATCGCATTGCGGCCCTTAAGTTCCTCTTCTCGATGTATTGTCTGTCGACCAACTTGTCCGGAAAGATGACATGGTCTATAACCTGGACCAGTAGGTACATGCAAACTTCAGCACCCCCGCTAAGATAACCAGATCGCCTCTGTGTTCCTGAGGGTACGAATGGTTAAGGTTATGCGAAGCTCCCTCTCGCGCCGGCGTCATACCTCAACTGACGCGAGCCGGCGCTCTTGAGTGATTAATTGAACAGCACGCAAACGTGCGCGACAACTCGAAACAACTGCCTCACCTCCATTAAGCGCTGACCGTGGAGGGGGCGAATGACCAAGAAGTAGACCCCTTCCTGCACGTATCGGGGCACTACCCACTGCACCGACCCCGTGTTGGCCGTCGCGCCAACGACAGCAGCTACGCGTCCCTGTGAACCGAGGGTTGTTAAAGGCACGGTAAAGCACAAGATGGAGAGTACGCCACGGGGGGGGTGGATGCCAGTAAAGAACAATGTCGACTATTGTTCCTAGCGGCCATAACCACAGTTTCTAGTCCTGGGGAAGCAATATTCTGATGTTCTCCTTCAACGTCGCAAATCGGATTCTGAGTAGCAAGTCGTCTTCCAGTCCGTGGCAAGAACATGAGTCCCACCTCCGTACAGGATTCAACAATGTCATCCAGGAGGCCACCAGTACAGTAACAGCTGCCGTTGGTATAAATCATCACAGCAACATGTGATACTCCGAACACTTTTCAAGGTGTCGTTGGGAGTGAGTGGGCACTTTGCTTTTGGGAACCAAAAAAGCATACCTGCGGCAGAGAAACGTATCTGGATCTCTATCTCGCTCTACTCTCTCTTGCATGTTCTCTCTCCTCCTTCGCCCCCTCTCTCTCTTCCTATCCCTTTTGTGTCTGACCCTGTAGTTCTAAACTAAAAAATGTGGAACATGTACCCCCAACATTCACTCTCTACACCGCTCACTCTTGTCCTACTATCTTAGACTCGATATCCCTTTCTTTCGCTACTCTCACCGTGTCTGCATCACAGAGCTCGATCCAGACGTCTTTCGTACCGCCTGCCGACTCCCACAATACTTCGGTTACACTTCCTCGCACAGGACCAGTTCCACCTCTAGGCGCCAAGAACGTAAACGCCGTCTTCTCCTGTAGTGGCCAGAACGCGAGGAGAGATTTGTACAACGACACGTCGAAGTACGAGCAGGAATTAGCATTCTACGAAAGGGATGTAGTATCGGGTACAGGAAGGCTTTGAAGGGAATAGACCACAGACCACCATCCAGGTAGCGGTGGAAGAATCGATGCATATGGAGAGGTATTCCCACGGAGTACCGTCTTCCAAACGCACCCACGAGTACCAGATCTATGGTACAAGACCGAGCGACTTTAACATTCAGAAAACTGTGAGCCATTTTCATAGTTCTGAAGGGGTCAACCCCCCCCCCCCGCCTCCTCACAGAACGCATGCTTTAAATGGCAAGGCTCCACGTCTTGGGTACCATTGTCTGGTCAAAGCGTTTCACTTCGCAGCAAGGGTATGTGCTTCACGGGTATGCCATATTTGTTGACACCCGAAGGCAGGTGAGACACGATGCGTTTTTTTGCTATGCAAGACGTTTCAATGTTTGATATGTTAGCCGTTTCGATTTCTGGTTCCACTCATATGATTGAAAGGTCTGAGTCTACGCGTCACATGTTCGGGTGGCTAGCGCAGGGAGATCCCCCTTTCCAAAACAATTGCGACAATTTTCATGTGGACATGCTCATGACCTGTGGCGGTAACGCCCCCCTAACGGCACTGACCACGATGAAGAAGACTTGGCTGCGTCCGAGGATGTGCGACTCGTCCAAACCGCGAAGCTCTAGCGTAAACGCCTTCTCCGCGGTCGCCTCCATAGGTCCTCCTTCGGGTGATAGGAAACGGGGTACCGCGAAGGTGTACCGGCACGTTTCGCCATGCGAAACCTTTGTAACGGCCGCAAAGTTGGAGGGAAACGGCAAGAGACTAGAGGGGTTGATGATCGAAGGATTCGGGGAGGGTGAAACGATTTTGTCTAGTGCTGCGTTGTTGCTGGTCTATCCACCCGGGGCTGGTTACGACTTGTTGACCTGACCATACTCAGCATTCCAATATCATGCGCCTGACTTACCATGCAGTCGGCATCGACCCCCTCGGCAATGAGCGCTTCAGCTCCGATTCCCCCTGTAGCATCGATCAGCCATAACTTTACGCCCTGCGCTCTGCCCCCCCCCCCTTCGTCCAACCCCTCCGTCGCTGCCCAGGTCACGGAGGCTATGGCACCAGTGGAGAGAAACTCCCCCATAACAGGATGGATAACCTGATAAAGGGGAATGCGAGGAAAATTTTCGCGTGTTGGTTGTCCGTGTAGTTTTTGAGTGGCAGTTGTGGAAATCAGGGCGCGATCGAAAGCGAGGGAGGCAACGTAACGCCCTGTCCGTATGCCAGCATGGTGCTGGAAGGGTTAGTTGTTTGACATCAACACGAGGGAGCCGTTTTCTTATCCCGTCGAACCACAAATCATTGCCCCCCGGTTGTTCGGGATTCTCGAGACAGCCGCATAAAGTAGGCTGGAATCGAAGTAGTCTGTCCAACAACAACCGATAACTAACGAATGTATCATCGCTCGTAGAGTCTGCAATCCAATGATGTTACGTACTTGTGCTGATGGTATCCCGACCCTCCAACCCGGTCGCACCAAAATAACACTTTCTCCGCGTCTCCCCTACTCCGTGTTCCGCGGTGCTCTCAACGTTTTTCTGGCTCACCTTGTATGGCAGCAGCGTTGGAATATCGTCAGCAACACCGATTGCTTTGTTGTCCTCATCGTCTTGGTCTCGACCTTCCTCCTCCACGTCATCATCGCCCTCGTCGTCACTGCCACCGTCGTCATCGTATGCAGCATCGTCGTTCGAGTGCGCACTCCTCTGCTCGCCCGTGCCATGGGAAAGCCACCTCCTTCTCCCTGCGGTATGGTTTTCTCGCTCCCCGTCTTCAGGATAAGTATCTTCGGGTACAAACGCATTCTCGGCGTGTTCTTCTCCCAGTAGCTCGGCGCATCGAGTTGGGGTGGGCGACTCTGCTGAAGATTTGCTTCGCCCTTGCTGCCGGCATTCCGCAGGTAGATGCGTTGGGGTGCTTCGCGGGGTAGAATCCCTGTGCGCCGGCACCGGCGCCGGCGGTAGTGTCGCCGTGGTTGTGAAAGTGTCCAGTGGGCTGTACGACGTGTCACCAGAACTTATTCCTCGAATGCGGTAAACGGTGTTAGCCCAGGCGCCGCCGCACACTCGCGAGCTGTTGTTTCGTCAATTCCAAATCGTAACCGGGGCAGGTGAGGAAAATAGGTAATTTATTTCATACGTGGTGAGAACCGAGGGCGAGCAAATCATGGGAAAGACGGGACCACCAAGCATAGGAAGACAAGACATCTGAAATCGGTGATCTGGAGTTTTTCGCCACCGAGTGGGGGCACACCGTTCCTGTCGGAACGGAAAGCAGCGCAAGAAATCAACAGTTTAGCAGCACTATTACCAGACCTAACAACTAAACATTCCTACTGTACCAATAACCAAATAAACCCACCGATCGCCAGTGCAGGGTGAGATGCAGTTTCCGGCAGGATCGTTGGAGGGAGGGTTATCTCCGCAGCGACACTCTCTGCCGAACTGCAACCCGAAGAAGGCCTTCCCTATCGCCATACACTGCACTTTACACACCTGTAGTGGGTAGTGGGTCGAATGAGCACAATTGACGCGGGTTGAATAGAATGTGCATTTTAACTTGACACATTCGGCGATCGTTCTACTTGCTTTACATTTGGGGTCGCTAAATGCACCGTGTCCAGGTTGCTTGCGTACATTTGGGGTCAAGCTGGAACGGAAAACGTGAACCCCATTTTCGTCGTGGTGTCCTTGTCGCCGCGGCTCCTGACTCTCGATCAGGCTGTCTTCCTCTTGTTCTTCCTCGGCTTCGGTGTCGACTGCGTGTTGGGAGCGACCGGCTCGAGCGAACTCTCGGAGTTGACCGGGGTGGTCTCGGAAACAACCCAGGTACTCCAGATCATCCCCTTGTCCGTGCTGTTTCCGCTCAAGTTCATGCTTCGCCTCTGCAGTACTGTCATTTTCTCCTCTCTCTTCCCCTCCCTTCTTCCACGCAGCAGGTGCGTCGTTGTAGTACACGAGAACGCTTCGCCTGTTTTTCCCGTCCCAGGTCCGCTTGATCCGATTGCCTGCGTTGATACCGAGCCCTTGACGGCCTACACCGTCGTTGCCGTGGCCAAGTTCATACCACGCTGGGCGGCCGCTAGTAGCGGAGAGGATCCCCGTACCGCTTGCGCCGCTCTCTAGCTCCCAATCATGGCTTCCTCTGATGTCGTTGTATAAGATGCTGGGTTGGGGGCAAGGCGACGAGGGAGGGCGGGGGGCTCATGCCGGTCATGTCGAGGGCAGCGGTGCGGACAAACCCTCGCAAAACTATACGAAGCAACCCCCCGGCGGGTGCGTTCCTTCCCGAATAATTGTTAGTTCCGTCTGCCGATTTGGACCAGATGCTATCGACGAGATGCTTGAATAGTCAGTCACCACCGGTACCTGTAGATGCTGTTTGTCCCAAATGATCCGCATCGCTGGGTCCTGTCCCCGCTGCAGGCTACGTCACATTGGTCCTCCGATAGGCGGCGATAGCCCGAGCCGTCGAAATCATCTCCGCAAGAGCAGCGTCTGGGCGAGAAGTTGGAGTGACAAGATGATAAAGGGGGACTGTAGCATGCACGTGGAAAACCGACGTCGCTAGACATCTGTACCCTAACTTCCACAGGTTGGGCAAGAGGAATGGTATTATTGTTGAAGTTCCCGTTGTTATGGAGTTATTGGATGCCTTGGTTTTCCGTCGGTTTCATAACAACACACCAAGGCACGGGCAGCAAAGTGCACTAAGAGTTACAGGTAGAATCAGCAATCCGTCAGGAGCGCATTTAAACTCTTCTGAATCCGTAGAGAGGAGCGCAGCACCAAATCATTCAGCACACGAAGACACCGCTCGTGTTCGTCGTTTCTCTCAAGCTAGGCAGATATGTGGGGTGGGGTTAAAATTGGCCTTTTGCGTGATGTTTATCGAGATTTCGGTTTCGTCGGGTGCAAAAGCGCAAAACATGCCCATGGTAGCACACGCAACCAAGCCGGACGACTATGATCTGCATGTGGATACTCTGTCGCTGCCCCCAACCTTGAGTACAGCCTACTCTATACAGGGAACATGTACTTTCCCGATGTACCGGGCTACATGCCTACATTTAACGCTATAGGAACGAGAATACCTGCCATTCTGGAGCCCCATGACCAGGCTACCACGGGCAGCGCACCATTCTCCGCATTTATGTGCTGACAGCTCCTGCAAGAAACAACAGTCGGTAACCAAGCGCGAGTCAGGCTCAGCCCGAGCGTGGCAATGCTTCGCGGTAGGGTAGCCACGCTCAGCTCCTTACCCACAATGCTTCAGTAGTTACGTAGGATGTGGTGGGCTGGACTGGCACAACCAGCAGACTTCTGTAGACTGTCTCCAATTGGACAGCAGAAAATACTGTGAGTGACAAGATCCTCTCTGCTTCAGAATCGATATTGGGCGCTGGTTCAGTTTCAGGTACACCTGCCAACGCAGATCAACTTCGAAATGTTTTGTACCTCGAAACACCACAGTGGTCGGCAACAGGCCACAACCGGTGGAATATCCATGCATAGATTAGACATTAAAATGGGCCAAGATGTTGGATAGGTTGGCGCTAAAGATCGTTCGTCCACGTCATGCCCCTTACGCTACCTCGTGGAAGAGACGTGTGCCCCCGCGCAGATGTTTGGAGATAAACCCATCTTGGAAGCACCCTCGGTACACGAGCGAAAACACGCTGTCGTCCACGTCTTCAGCGCTGCCTCCACCGACACCTTCTTGGTCATCCGAGTCAGAGCTCTCTGATGAATCTTGATTCTCTTCGCCTTCGTCCCTGTCCTCCTTGTCGTTGCTGTCCCAAGGGTATCCGGCATCCTTGCCATCAGCATCTCTGGCTCGGTTGGTGTGCCCGTTGTTGAGGCCGCGCTCCGAATATCCTTCGTTGCCTTCGTTGTGGTTGGCTGTGCGCTTGGAAGCCGTTGGTGGGGGCGCGACCGCGACGCATTTCGAGTCGGCGCTGCACTCCCTGTTCGAGGGGAGAAATGAAACATCGAATAGATAAGACCTGTGCTCAACTTAGGATCCCCGCCAGATCAAGAGGCAGAAAACAAGGGTGGTTTGTGGAGGGATCTCGACCCTCAATAGCGAGTACCGTGTCGTTAGCCTAAGCAATAGCAATAGGCATCGCTTCAACAGACAGACCCTAACCTTCTCGGAAACAGATCTGCTGCCCTAGCTGCTACGATAGGGAGCAATGCCGCCACGACAAGAGCCCCAATGGTCGACGTTGTCAAATATTTGCTTTTATGTTCGGGAGTGACTGATGCATGTAGGCGCAATTGTCTCAGCCAGCGAGGTTATCAGTCCATCGGTCAAAGCAAAGTCGGACAACGTTCCCACAGAACGTCATCTGGATTATGCGGATGGGGAGAACGTCTGAAGTCTCACTTGTAGCTCTCATGGTCGCAGACGGTTCCCTCCGGCAACCGATGCGCGCTCTCCTCCATACACTCCTGGGCATGATTCGCGTCGTCGCTAGGTTGCCCCTCTGGAGAGATCGCAGGACCTTCCGCTGTGTTGGCCTCGTTGCCCAATGAGTGGGAGGCATTCCTTTCAGGGGAAGCAGTCGAGGGCAGTAGCTGTTCGCCGACCGGGCGATAGTGCTCCACACAGGCGTTGAACTCGAATGAGTCAGGGGTAACGCAGGTCTCGTAGCTGGTGAGTGTGGGGGAAGCGACGCAGGTAAAGGGAAGGCAGCGCCAGGATTAGCTATCATGACGTTGTGATTACACCCGCATCGAACTCGAAGGCACCTCAGCATGCGCCCAAAGTGTCAGCCTCAAGTCCAGTGTCGGACGAATCCGTCGCCTACAACAGGTGAAGAGCATGGCAGTTGCGTTCCGTATGACTACACACAATGTGCAAGGGTGATTAGAGTATTGTCCGGCGACGAGAATGAACAGATCTTGAATGCTTTGGCCATCTTGAAAAATACTAGGGAAAACAACCCATACCTCCCGTAGGGCTCTATCGGTACGTGGGCTCGCCGGCAGTCACCGTTGACGCACACTCCTTTCGACCCGCCGGGCACCTGCGGCGACGGACGGCAGAGAGTGAATGGCGGTATCCTACACGTTCAGTCGTTTGCCCCGCAAGTGCGAAGATCACCAGCTCGGTAGGGTCGGCCTATCGACCTGGTTCCCTCAACAAACGTTTTGATACTGCCCCACGGAATAAAGGCAGTTAAGAGTCGACATTTGTTCCATGCCCGGTGTAGTGACAGGAGGAAGTAAGCAAAGAGAGACCCTGACTGTGAACTTAGAGGAATGATGAAGAGAGGTGCATACCGTAGGTGACACGAAATATCACACCCCCTGGAGCGATTTTCAAAGCTCGATTTATCGACGGCAGAAAGAGTGGCGGCGGCGAAAATGGCGGCGTTGGAACCGTCTTGTCGAGGCCTTTCCAAGAAAGTATCGTTTGATTTATTCATTATCTTCTTCATGGAGTAGGCGAGCATTGAAAGTCAGTCCACGTGGTGTGATATCTGATGCCACCTACGGAATTGCCCTCAGGGTCCTTCGCTTGTGACCTACCCTGCACAATGTAGCGGACGATAGAAACTGGCAGTCGACCGTGCAACACTGCCCCGTCCAGTCTCCGTGTGCGACGACGGCAGGGTTGGCGCTGCTGTTGTTAGTGGGCCGGGATTTCCACCACGAAGACCCCGGCGAACACCTGGCATTGGGCACCAGCTTGCACTGGTTGGGGCGGCAGCAGGGGCTATCGTCGTCGCAGTCCTCCCCGGGCTCCAAAATCCCGTTGCCACAGGTCGGCTCGTAGGGCTGGAAGAACATACAACGTAATGTGTCACAGAAAGGCATACGGAAAAACGACATACCGTTGCATGAGCGGAGGGAGGTTTCGTGGTTTCGAACGGGGGGTGGAACCGAGGCAGTGAAGGAACAAAGGTGTCTGTCTTTAGTTCTGATTGATGCCGGCACCTTGCAGGAGCCTAGGCTCACACCAGTGTTGTCAAAAAAGCATGCAAAGTTCTATAGTTGTTTCGGATTAATGAGGCCTGAAGCTAGGACTAGCGAGAGGCACTATTAGAGCTTACAACGACGCCATATGTGCGATGACCATCCCTGTTGCTCGCCAGTATCGGTGGCTTCATCTCATTCGAAGGAACGCCCTTGGTGGAATTATGAGTAAGTAGATGCGTTAGCTGAAACAACCCATGATGGGGTCGACAGAAGTCGGTACGCGTCCACAGCGGAGTAGCCTAAAGCACCTGAAAGCATTCCTCGTTGGAAAGAATGTGTCTGCAAACTTCTTTTCTGGACTCGCTCCAGCCCATGTCAGAACTGCTTTCCCGATCCCTCGTCGGCGACGAGGAGTCGCTGCCAGGACGTGCGCCGATACGACGTACAACACATAGCACAGCGTAGGTCGGATACCAATGTCAGCTACAAACCGGGAACCAAAATATGTTAAATTGCCAGCCCTGCTGATAACCCAAACGGTTCTCCGATAGTTGTGTCGGTGGCATCCTTGAGAGTATGAAAAATAGAGCAGCACGTCGCCCCCGCTCATTACTAGTTGCACGTTTACGGGGCACCAAACGTCCTGGGTTCTTGAAGAGGTCAAATCGGAAGGTAGGTTCCCCCCAACGTTCGAAATATTCCGCTCAAGGCGGATAAACTAGTGTGAAGGATGGTGATGGTGGCTTAATCTACACTCACTTGGCTATGTCCAGGAAGCCACTACTTCCAAGGGAGTGCCCGAGCTCTTGCGCGAGAACCTCCCACGTTCCGAACGTCCGTCGAGACACCCAGCCGACCCCCATGCTATCAGAACACGCTGCCTGCGACAGGCGAATAAAAGCAGAACACGCATACTTTTTCTTCTTGATAAACGAAACCCGCTTGCTTGTGCTTGTGCTCTTCTACTAGGGTAGAGACGTTTGTGAGTATAATGCGTGTCGTTGTTGTATTGCGGGGTGTATACTGGGCCGTTTCGTTAACGGATCTGAGCTGGACATATCTGGCGCGAGGCAGGCACTGTCTCTAGCCCGTTACAATACCACGTCGGCAATGGGAGGTCATGACTGGCATGGAGTGCATACCGCAGCCTTCGCTCTAGACACAACCAGTATGCGAACCAAACTCAAGGCGTTTTTTCCCCTGCTTGATGGTCAATCTGCAGCCCGAGATCGCGCCTGCCTGCAACTCGTTATTTAGATATGCCCCTGACATCCCGTGTTGTTTCCAACTTGTACGGAACAAAAACCCTTACCGCTGTGTAACTCAAGCCCTCAACCCCCTCGTCGTAACACGCCGTCAGCAGCTGCCAAACGCCCAGGCGGTCCTCGGGTGGCAGCGACTCCCTCCAGGCTGCGAAACCCTTGAGCGTGGAAAAGTGATCACTCGACGGTTCGTTTGGCGACGTTTCCTGATGGCAACGGACCGCCGGCACAGCAAGCAGTGGACCCACCGGATTCGGCAGCGGCACAACGGCGGTGGCATTGGCAAAGGCGGTCAGAGAATGTTGATTGCTATGGGATGCAGGCGAACGGTGGGATACGTCCATCCTGTGCTAGGGCGGAGTCGTGGTCCTTCGAGACCATGGAATGCTTGAATAGCAGAGACGGGGAATTAGCAGCGGCGACACCCATGAACAGTGGATTGGTGGTGCCGAGTGATAGAGAGAAGTCATGTATCGCGCAGAGACGGCCTAACCAACGACTGTCACACGATGTGCTTCTACACAAAACCCATTAACCCAACGTGGTCACATCTTCGTTGCTGTTTTGCCACTCAAACTTGCATTCATGGTCTCCCAATCCATGTACTGCCTACAAATCACGACAACAATAAACAAAAACATCTCCAATCAGGCTGCTGCGACTGCTTCGCCATCCATGTTCTCACACTGACCTCCGTGCCATCCAAACGTGAGTACGGGCAGCCGTACTCCAGCCGACCCTGTGCATGACTCTTTGTGTGGTCCAGGGGCTCATGGTTCCAGTTTGCTTCTAGTGGATCCCTTTGTTCTTGTTCTTGCTCTTGGTCCTCGGTTGCTTCCGCTGTTTGCACTCTTATCTCGATGTTTTTAACCTCGATGTAGACTCCAAACTGTGTAACAGGCGGTGGTTCAGTGAAAGTGTTTTTTCTAGTCAGTGCAGGGTAGTTCAATTTGTCATGTGTTGATGAAGCGTATGTCTACCGTCGAAACAACTAAGTAGTAGGGTCGGAGGCGGAAAGACGCATTCACCATCTGAGATTTTGGGTGGGCAGGATAACCGATGACCTCTCAGGACGCCGCATGCTCGCAAGATGCCTCGTGTTATACTTTTTCGGTGCGATTGCCGCACGGAGTTTGGCCGTGAGCGATGAATCGGTACGTTCTCACCTGGTCCGCGAAGAGAACGTTCACGAGGCTGACGATGCCCTGCACCTCGCTTTCGGCAAGGTCAATCGCTTCCTCGAGGGTTAGCTCGGGGTCTCCCCCGTAGCTGTTTCCCGATTGATCGACGCCGAATCCGGTAGAGGCCTTCAAGCAGAAGCGCCCCAACCCCCGACAGACAAGAGGGGTACAGAATGAACATGGCTTGAAGAGCTTGTGCCAATTCCTAAAGACGACCATCGGACTTTTGGCTCCGCCGAGCAGATCGATCCAATCCTAATTTTGTGAGTTGGCCATCCCTCCTGCGCTCCGAGAAAATGGGCTACGTCTTTCTCTATCTCAACGACCGGAGTCGTATTTGAACCCAGAGGAAATTCATACAGATCTCAAACGTTACGGCGGCTACGCGACTTGATGCACATATATTTTCGATCAATAAACCGGCTGACTCACCTTGAAGTAGCCCGTGTCCATAGCTATCCCGACCTGAAAAACTCTAGGTGAAGAAGGGCACTCCGGATATTGTCCCAACGGATCCGTATCCCTATTCTCAGGTCCTCTCGCCCCATTCTCGATGACAAAGGGCAATCGAGATGTCTTCGATTCCGACAAAGAACGGCGTGGATATTCGTTTTCGGCACGGTGATGCTGATCACGCTTGGAGTTGAGTTGTGGCTCCATGTTCTTCTCGGTCTCCCCGTCCTCCTGCTGTTCGGCTTTCTGTGACCACGACACATCGCTATCCGTGTAGCGGCTGTCACCCTCTCCGATATTAATCACTTTCGGCATCAATGAGTCTGTCCCGGCAAATCTTCCCAATGGTGCCTGCTTTTGGCGCTGGTGCTGCTGGCGTGAGTGGACCGACTTGAGGTCAGAGAGGCGGTACGCAACGTGTACGAGGTGGTTGGTGGTAGACTCGTCGGCCTCAGCAGGGCGTTGGCGACGGTGACTGTTTCCACCATCCAAGTCGGTAAACCCATGTTGCGGAGGAGAGACTCCATCTTCGTCAGTGGATGGATCCCATAAATCTGCTGCTGCCTCGGGCATCCCGCCACTTGAACGTGTGGCGTGCAACCGTCTGGACCGTGATGGATTTCCCCGTGGGGGATCATTTTCCACCGCTGAAGTTGTAGTAGCCTTACTGGTGACAGCGACGTCCGGGTCGCGGCGAAAAGCAGGTTCCAGGGAGTAAATCTCGCCCTGAGGGGTTAAAGACAGCCGGCTTTAGGACTCGAAAGTGCTTGGACGGTGACATGCGGCTGGTACAGTAGTGCGAGATATTGTTTTCTGGGTGAACTACACATAAACGACTGTGGGACCAAGTCAGGACTTTAGACTGTACACATGCTGCTTGCATCAATTTATTTAATACGGCGCTTGCAGAACAATTAGTGGGCTTTCTTGGGATCCATGTTTGATTTTCAGAGAGACGGCAGTTGGTAGCACCGTGTTGCCGTACAGAACACGTTTGCCGTCTCTTGGGACTGCTCAGGCCGGGTTCGATGCGAGCCCCGGGCTACGCGTGCAACTCAACTTGTTCGTGAAATCGCTGGCTTCATTTGTAGCCCTTCATGTTTGAACCACATGCTACGCATACGGTTGTACATTCGCTGCCGCCCACCTGAATCTTGTTCGCCAAGTGTATTAATTACACGACGTACATTAGGTACTTTGGCATGCACACCCTGCTGCTCACATTGTGAAGAAAGTGCATCGTGATGGATTTCAAGGATCGCACGATCGCCCGAATCCACCCTCCATGCGGCAGGCGGCCTTCGTAGGTTAATAGCTTCGGGGAACGGTCGGCTAACACTGCACCCCCAGCTCCCACTACCCGAATCCGACCGCCAGAGCTCATGGTACCACGCAGAGGGGACAGAGAGACGTCAAACCTCTCCCCGAACGCCGTGAAAAGAACCTGCAGGGATTACAATCATAAGACAACAACGTGTTGCTGTAGCGTCAGCCTCGGTGAAGGCACACAGTATACAGGCCCCTTGCGGATCGGTACAGGCAGCACAGGTATTGAAGACGAAGATAGCCCGCACAGGCGACGGTACTCATCGCATACCCACCGACGACAGCTCCACGTCGTCATTGCATTGTGGGAGAGTGGTCCATCACGAATAAACAGCAATGTCGGCAATACGCACACATTAGGACGTCCTCGCTTTCTCTCTTTGAAAGGCTAACAGTTAGAGCCACGTGCACGCAGATGCTATGACACGCCTACCTCCTTGTCACTTACCCGTATTTCACACTCATGTGGTAAGCCAGCATCCGTACCGGCGGCGAGCACATCATCTTGAGTGAACACCTCAAGATCCCCGACGATCTCTTCTCCAACAGCCGATGCAGCACTAGGTTGGCCGGTGCAAGAAGACACGGGCAGCCCTAACACAAGAACCAGCAGTAAGAGTGCCAGGCTAGACAGATAGTGGCGCCGTGGGCGAGCCGCCAAGGCTAGGCGACGACGACGATGCTGCATCTCCATGGCCACCACGCAGCACCGGGGAGCAACACCTCAAGAGCTTGTGCCACGGTCGCGTATTTTGTCTAATGCACGCCTGTGGGTCTGTCCTAGATTAGCGCACCCAGATGTAATACACAAACGACCGGTAGGAGGCCTCGCACTCTCTACTGCTGCGCACGTTGCTTCTCTTTGATGCACAAGAGTGCATTCGTGGTTTTCAGTTTCAGAGTTCCGAGTTCCGAGCGGAGTGTCTACTCGGTCGTATGCGTATCTATGGTTCCGCCGCATTTGTGATTCCGCCGCATTTTTCGTTGAGGGAATCAGGACGATTAAACTCTCCTCTGCTCTTCCCCAGGCAGCCTGGCGTTCGTGTCCTACGGGACATTCTAGGTTTGCGGTGGCACCATCCCATCGTGTGGTCCTCTCCGTTGCCCCCCTGCAGCGTAACAGCGGGGATTCTACGTCGTTTGGGGTGCGGCGGAACTACACGTGGAACCCCCAGGTCAACAGGGCCACACTGTTGTTAGTATCGATCAAAGAGTACCTGGCGCGCTGACTTGGCCAGTGTTTCACCGCTCCCAAATCGCATCCATTTTTACATCTGACACGTTTAACGCGAAGTAAATACTCGCTCGGCGCGGGCTTCGGGGAAGAAATGTCGAAGAAGGCAGGAAAAAAAGCGAAGGTCAAGGTGCCAGAGATCGACCCAAATTCGCCAGAATGGATCGAGGAGGTTGCTCGGAAGCAAAGCGAAGCATACGGCATGGTGCAGCGAGCCATGACCCGGAGCCAGGTGTGCTTTTGTAGGAACACGTTTCCCTGTTGTGTGGTAACGTTTGAGCTGTGCGGGACCGTAGTAACCGGAAGTCATGACCAGCTCTTTCTATCGCGGACATTCTCAATATATGTACGCAGCGGTCAGCATGTGCAGGGCTCTCCACGGTGGAGCGCGAACCTTGCGTCTACCCAAACGTTTTCGCTTCACGCATGCTTATTTGGCGAAGTAGTCTTATACCTGAGTTTGCACGCACGTATAAACTTCCTCACTACGTATCGTGAAATGCGTGCTACCATAGATAAGCTTGGAACCGCCCGAATGATGAACGCACCCAATGCATGCCTCTTGAGCATGTCAGTATCATACAATCTTCGCCTGCAGTTGGGATAATTTTCGCGCAACAGGGCGCCGCATCGATGCAGGTCGGATGCAGGTCGATCTCCTTCAAACTATCGACAACAGGATCGATCCCGCCACGCGCACGCGGGCGCGTTGCATGCCGATAAAGGCAAGGTACAGCTGTAACCAGCACCGAGTATTTGGCTCTTTGAAACCCAGGGCCTTCCTCGTTTCTGTTGTTGCAGATCGAAGTGGTGCTAACCACCCGAGACAACTTGGTGATCCAAAGGGCGGAACTTGAAACCAAGGCCAAGCAGCAGTCGCAGGACCAGAGCGACATCTACCAGTACCTTCGAAACAAACTCAAAGACAATTACGTCGCAATCGCCGAGCTCGAAGCTCAGGTACGAGATGGGGGGCAACAGGTCACGGAGGCAGAAACTCTCGCAAGTTCCAGCGAGGAGCATCCCTACCTGCATTTGTACGAAAGGGTGCAGAGAAAGACAGCCCAACACATTGTAGCATGCTGAGTGTATCGAACCCAAGTTGCACCGCCCAGATGGAGCGTCCCCCTGTGGCCGAGGAAACTCGTTTTGAGCAAGAACGCAACGTGTTGGCCTCCCCAGCTTCACAATCCTTAGTATGCCTCTCTGTCGGTTGAAATTCCAGTGCTGTGTAGATCTCCTAGTCCACGGTGTCTAGCGTGCCTTCCCCTGTACGTGAAGTCTCCGACAAATATTCCGGGACCCAAAAACTTGGAAGCAAAAGCGCCTCTGGGGATTCGTGGGCTTTCGTATTGTAACTAACGGTTTGCACTGTTTGCGTCTGAACAAACATGCTTTCTTATTCCCACCAGCTCAATTTGGATTTTGGTTAACCCCTGTACCGCTTGATACTGGTCGCCATATTGCGTCGCCATTTGTATCGGGGGGGGGGGCCGGGGGGCATGATGATGAAAACCCTAGTGTCCCAAAACGATGGCAACGCCAGAGGCACAAGATGATAGAGCTTGAGGGGGTTATCCTCTAACTACATTTTTCCTGTTCTCGAAATATCTTTGGCCAGAAACCTCCAACAGATGGTGCACAACGAACCAAATTCTAAGCCATACAATAACCAACTGACGCGTACTGCTGTCTAGCTGGTGTCGTTTGGGGGTGGTTTGACAACATATTTTGGGCACGAGGCGATCGTAGCCTGACGGTCCCAAACGATGGCGACTCAGACACACGAGACACAGCTTCATGAACGGGGTAGCTGTTCGACTACCCTTGATTTAGTAGCACAAATAATCCCAAACACATGAGAAGCGTTTCCATGCCTAACCACCCACACAAATGCGTTCGTTAATATATCAAAGTGAAAGCCTCGCCAACGTTCTTTGGCGATTCTTCCTTCTAGAAAACAGAACACACCAGTGTGCATGCAGTCTCTCTGTGTACGGAATTATTTCCTGGCCAATCGAACGTGTCTAGAGAAAACGAAACCCGGGCGGTAAGAGGTTTGCAGCGTGCATACGAGAACCATACTCGATGGAAACGTTTGGCATTCACAACTGGCATGTGGTTCGTTCTTCTTCCAATGTCCTTCCAAAAACGACTCGTACAAAGGTGTCGCATGCTCACGAGGACAGGCTAGTGCGGGAAAAACAACTGCTTTCTACGATAAAGGACCTGAACGAAGAGCGTGAGAGCGAAAAGGTATAGTCTTCTGCTAGGTTTGTGTTTGTGTATCTTTCTGCCCCGCCAACAGACCAAAAGACAAATTTTCAGTCGCGCCGTGGACGGAAGCGAGCGACACCAACTTTTGCATACCTGTCAAAGACGCGCGCGTTTCTATGCAAATCAGCACGGTGAGGCACCTAACGGTCTAGCAAGTAGGCACCTCGCCTGTGTCAAGCGCTCGGCATTGGGTGATTTTTGCACCAATCTTAGCAGACACTGGCCGGTGGGGGCCCACTTTACCCGAAGCCGGCGTCCTTTGGGATTGACGCTGCTGACGCACTGGAAATTACGTTCGTACCCTGCCAAGCGCATCAGGCACGGAAGCGTTGGCCGCGGCAATGGCAACCCGAAATCCCGCTTCTTCCCCCCACAACCAGTGTCCGGGCATTTTCTCCATGAGAGCCTCGTATTTCCACCGTTCTACCCTTCGTCAAAGTTTCCCAGCGCTACACAACCACGGTGAACCCCCATGACCACCTCGTGCACTATAATTCACTAATCCCTTGGCAGATACGGCTGGGGGAGAAACTGGGGACCCTCGACGTCGAGCTTACGGCTATCAAAGAATACCAAGAAAACTCACAAATCTACGAGCAGACGGTACGAGCCTACCGTGAAGGCGTTGTCGCTCTGGTGGTTATACTTTTGGACCGGTCGCGCGGACATTATTTGTTGAAACAGCCGTAACGGGCGTTGTTTCTGGTGTAAGTTTGGCAGTTCCCTAATATTTCTGATACTGTCCCTCCGCTTGGTTCCGGACAGCGTATGTTAATCATCTCATCAACATGTGTACATGTTCGAGCTTGCAAGATGGATCCTTCATATCATTGTTGCACGCCCAAACGTCAGCACGGAAACCGAGCGTTTTCCTCTTCCATACTTGCTGGGAGCATGGATTGGAACACGTCTGTCGTCTGCTGCAGACATGTTTTTCTCACCATGCTCAGTGCGGCGAGCGGGTTCGTACCCCTAGCCATTCCTGTGGTTTTCCAGCCACAAAAGGCACCGTGATGGACTGCAACACCTCGTGTAGCGCTTATCTTAATCGTTCTGGTAAGCAAAATTGGTCGAACACGGCACTAGCAGTACTCCCTAACTACGTTTTATGGTGAACGTCTCGCCGCGTAGTCAGGTTGGCTGCTTTTATTTACATCGTCAATCATCACTGTGTCCGTGGTGCGGCTCGCTAACGCAGTTGAAAGACATGGAGGCCAAAATCGCTGGCTGCAAGGACGCCTTCAATGAAGAGATGGCCTTACTAAACTCCCAGCTTGAGGAGGAGTGGGAAACTGGCCGCCGAGACAAAGAGGAGCGGCGGAAGATCACGAAAAAGGCGAGTGGGTTCGAGTGTCGGACCATATGTTCGCGCTAACAGGGAGGTATTCTCAAACAAACGGGTTCAGGAAGACGAATGAAGGCCATCTATGGGTAGAAAATCAGCGGAAAGTTAACGTCCGAGTCGCTAAACCCCTTGGCCCTCTCCTCCCCCCGTCCTTTCGGTTCGATCGTTCGAAGGCTGCGGCGAAGGCTACCCAAGAGCAGCTGGGCCCCCGGACAAAACACAGAATCGCCCAGAACAAGAAGGTAAGGCGTATGAGCGTTGGTGGTCACGGTGGTGTGGTTGCCTACCCTTCGCCCTAGAGAATGTCCCCGCGTCGTAACGACTGGCCCAGCGCAACGAGTTGTGCGTGATGCCCTTAAAGCCGGGTCCGTTTGGTTCTCAAGCGCGTGTGGTGTGAGCACGGTCTTCAGCCATGGGCTTGCGAGCCTCACCATACCCTACGTACAATATGTTGACTCCGTTCTCGAACGCAGACTCTCACGCACGGCACATATGGTCTATTCTCTCTGGTTCTGCGTTTTGTCCTTGAACCTTGCCCTCCAAAAGATGATGTCGGAGCTCCGTTTCCAGTGCTTTGAGGTGGAGAAAATGTACCGCGCCCGGCAAGGCCTGATGGAGTCGAACACTCTTCTGCTGGCAAAATCGGCGTCAGCGCGGCACCGCGTGGAGGAATTGGCCCGCCGCAGCCACTTGTTGCAAAGGATTATCCGCTACATGCACCAGAAGGTACCTTCGCCTCCCTCATTGAACGTCTGCCATGGGCTCTGGAAACATGACCCCATATCGGCCAGAAATAGAAGCTAGGAAGTAAGAGGGCCAACCAAGGCACGGTAGCTTGTAGGGACGTGCTAAACACTAATAAAGAGCTGTTCGTGTATCAGGGAAACACGAGCACTACTCAGGCATCGAGTATCGGCGGCCACCATTGCGGCAACTTGAACACCAAGAGTTTCACTGTTCAAGGCCTCTCGTCATGCCACTGAACGCGTAATCCCATACGCCGGGCACTAGATCATCGTTCGCCCTCGCTTCCCTCCGCGCTGTCATCCTGTCAGCTCCAAAAGCGAGGCGCATGCCTGGATGACGGAAGTATCGGACCTAACAGTGCACCAGAAGACGTTGATGACTGCGAGCGGCCAGGGGCATCGCCTGAGATAGGTGGGCATGCAGCCCGCGCTGGAAGAAGAAGTGGGAGTCGAGGTCGGCACAGTGGAACCGTGTACAGGCTGGCGGGCATGTCTGAGGAGGAACGGCAACAGATGTTGGACCTTCGAGAAGAGGTGTGTGTACGTTCATGGCTCGAGAAGAGGTTTAGATGAACTCACGCAGTTGTCGCCACGCTCAAGTAGCCGAAAGGATATCGATACGCATCGAATCTCACCATGCCCATCGTATTCCATGCTGACCCTCACTTCCAGTGGTCAAGGCAGCATGGCGCAGTACAACCAGTTGTACCTTGCAGGAACAATGGGTAGGCACATCAATTGATTCAGATGTGTATCCCTGACGATTCGTGGGAAGCTTGACCACGTTGCTGTTGTCGAACCCTTGCTGACCTCTATCTATCTAGTACCTCCCCTATTCTAGGATTCCACGACAAAGGACCATGGTCACAAGCTAATCCAAACCAAGGCGCAAATGCTTTGGAAATATCCGCATAGAGAATACGCCTCCGCGTCTCGACCAAGGCTTGCTGGGTGGAAACGGTGCCGGGTACACCACAGCCCGGCTACACCATTTATTCATGCCCTCACGCCACGTGCTGGCGCGAAACCCCGCAACCGTTACAGCTCCGACGGGAGGAGGTCGCTATTGCGGCTGCGCAGACTCTGGTGGGGGAAATGAGCGAAAACATACGCAGGGCTGAGGAAGAGAGGTCCCGAAGACTAGCTCTGAAGGGAGACCTCGCGAGGTAAGCCTCGGTGGTGTTGGGCCGTGCTATTCTCATAGCTGTCGTGTTGTCAGAGTTCTAAGATTTTTCGCTCGTTGTTTGTTCCTGCGCATGACCCTGCCGCGGGGTGCAGTACACCACGGTTCACTGCCGAATGCACTGGGAAGACGTACCAACGCATTCATCAGCTTCGAAAGTGACCCCTTCCCCCTCCCTTAACGCTAGCTGCGTCTTCGTATGCGCGCGCGTTTTTCCCCAAAAAGAGTGCTGGCATTGTGTCACGAAGACCCTTTGGTAGGAGCCAACGGGGAGAAAGGACTGCAGACAGAAAGCGGCGGAAAAAGCTTCGACCGGACCGGCCGTCTTGACCCTCAGCCAATACCAGTCCCAAAAAGATCAACATTGCTATATCTCCAAGACGCCAATGGCTCAGAGTTGTTGCCTGCGACTCTATTGCACAGCTCGGATCTGCCAGTGGGTTCAACCAATGATGGCAGCGGTCTAGCTGATGATCACGGCGTAGAAATGGGTGAGGGTTCTGTTAGTACGGTGCTCCTGCCAGCGATCGGCCCCACCAGGTTATCGCGGCAACCCCAAGATTGGGAACTGGAGAACAACGAACACGATCAACAGCGGGTACCACAGCGGCAGCTACAACAGCATCAACTCCAACCGCATCAACACGAACACATGGCGCTGGAGGTACCCTCCCGCGGGGCGGATGGAACAGAGGGAGATGACGCCATCGAGTCAAGTCGAGGAAACCGTAGGGGAGGTATGAGGGAGAAACTCGCGTTGTGGCCGGAGTTTACGATTGTGCCCCACACTGCTGGAGTCGGCAGGCCACCCCGTGAGGGCGGCGATATCGCATACAGCGAAGAACGACCATGGGAAGGGACAACCAGCTGCATTGATGCTGAGGTGTTGAAAGCGGTGGCGAGACTTCTTCTGTCCAAGCTGCAGATCTCCGTGGAGGTAAGTTGTCAGAGAACCAGATCAATTTTCTCGCTTTAAAGCGTGGTTGCTTCTCTTTTGTGTTTCTCAGTAATATACTGGGACACCAACATTAAATGGCTACCACCGTGACCCCTCTCTCAGTCAGTTGAACCAAGGTATTCGCGAAGCCCGCGACCGGTAGCTTCGCAGGTTTGCATTCTTCACGGCTGCTGTAGATCAGCTGAGTGGTGCATGTATTCGGAACTCGTTCCATTTCGGCAGCATTTCTCTACCCCTCTCAAAAAATATATTGTGTACATACATCCTATCCATTCCTTTTGTCAGGCAATCACACCAAGGCTAGCATCCCCCCGCACCCAAGCCGTGGGTTTCCCGTCTTTGACGGAACGGGCGACCTTGGACGGCGGCGGTGCCAGGGCCGAAAGCGGCGTTGACATGGGAGACCGACAGCTAAGAAACTCCAGAAGGGGCCCCAGACGGAGCAGGGAAAGCACTAGAACGGCGAGGCGACACGGGGCCGGCAACGGTACCTCCGCTTGTAGCAGCCGTGGACAACGTCGTCGCGATGGGCGCGGCGGCACTCTGTCTGGTGATCAGTACGAGGAAGGCGTGTCCAGGGAGGGCGGGCGCGATCGCGGCGTTGGCAGGAGCAGGTCGGGAGCGCCGGACGATGCTACGAGTATCTGGTCGGGGTGGCATACCACGGGGATTCCATCGTGGGACATTCTTGTGAGTGAGATTCTTGGTGAGGCGTCACCATTTTCGATGGTTTTCGGGTCGGCACCATTTAGACCTAATCATATTTTCCGACAGAGAAAACAAATCTGTAGTTGTCACTATCTCACCGTCATTCTGAAGGACCCGAAATACGTTGTGCGATTTACGACGCGCAATTGATGAACGGAACACGTTTGCGAATTATCATCCGGACAATCCACAGGAACCAGCCGTGCGACAAACGAAGCGGCGGAGAACACGAGATGCCGCCTGCCAGACCCTTACGTACCGCGAGCTCCGGGATCACGCGAAAACAACGGGTTCGATGCACAACACCAGTACCACGGGCGGGAAGAACTGCGACAACAACCTAAGCCCTCCCCCGAGAGCGGTACACCAGGTGCACCAACGACAGCGGCAGCAACAAGCCCGCCATCACGTAGTCCCGGCGTCGAGATATGTCTCGATGCTAAACCCACCGAGATCTCCTGTCCCTTCGACCACTGCGACCACTACGCTGTCTGCGTCGTCGGTGTATCGGACCACAGACGGGGGTGGGATCGTCCACGGCGCTATTGTCCGAGGTGGCGCCCGTGGCGGCGACGCGCATGGAATGAGACCGTGGCCTGCGCAACAGGAAGAACCCTTGGCCGGGCGTGTTCGAGATGCCGGCGGCGACAAGTTACGGCACCAACGCGATGAAGAGCAAAACCCGTCGTCTAGTAAGAACGGCGTTGAACGAGGCGGGTCGCTTGCCCGGCCGACAGACGGTCAAGGCACGCTGCTCTGCTCCCCGCCATCGTCTTTCTCCCAGCAGCGCAGCCTTCACTCCTCACCACGCCGACAGAAGGAAACAGAGCTGGATACGTCAACAACGCCTTCTGCGCGCCTATCGGAGACGCCAGAGACGCAGCGTGCCCCACCCCCGCTTGGCCAGGTTTCAGTTTCGTGGAACCAGGAACAGGATCAAGGGGTTGAAGGGGGGGAGGAAGGAGCTGCACCGTTTACAGCAGTGCGTGAGCCAGAAGTGGAGGTGCCGAAAAGTTCGCGTAGCAGGAGAAGGTCGGAATCACTCCCAAGAAACGGCTGCGTATGGAGCACGAGGAACCATACCGTGGTCGGCGAGAAGGGATCTGGGAATCGAAGTCATGCTGGTGGTGGTGGTTTCGTGTACGAATCGCTGTCAAAGGGACCGGATTATCGCAAGGTACAATGTCGTTTGTTCGGTGTTTTCTCGAGTACGACAAACTCTCACGAGGGACATTGATACACATCCATCAGCCTGTAGGCCAACAAGACTCGAAACAGCACAACATCATGACTGTCAACCCCTTCCTGGTGTTCATAATGCCTTCAATAGTCGGACATGCTCGTACTTTCCGCGATTTGCCCTCGTTCCCACATACGACGTCCCTGTAGTGTCATTCCGTAGTCTACACCGTTGTGTTTCATTTCTATGGCTTCAGCGGCCGACCAACCAAGAAAGATGGCCAACGTTATGTGTCACCCTTTCTCTGTGCCGTTGGGCATCTCTACCGACGCAGGTCTTGCTCTTCACTGTGAACGACGCCGATTGCCGTGTTTTGAGGCGTCCCCTCGCAACCTCCAGCCTGACCAGCACCAGCGAGACCACAACAACAGCGCAGTCTGGGGTGATCGAACTCAGCAAAACCGACCAACAAGACGGACGCCGATTAAACGTTGATAAGTCAGCGAACGGCAAGCGCAGTAGCAGCAGGAGGTGTGCCTCGCGGCGAGGTGGCCCCGGTGACGCTGCTGGAACAAACTTTGTGAGAAACTGCGGGCCCTCGGTCGCGATGGGAGCAACTAAAAGTCAACCAGTCGCAGCAATAGCAGCCCGGCCATCTGCAAACTCTGCTGTCGGAGAAGACCTGTTCGTTGGGAAGAGTGGCAGGATGCACTGTGGCGCCGATGGTAGGATTAGTGGGATAGGATCGGCTGGGCTGGGACCGGTAGTTGGCAGCAACAGTATCGTGTGGGATTCGAAAAGTGGCGTTGGAGAGCTGAACGGCGGGCCCACGATGTGCAGCAGCGTGTCAACTCTCAGCGGCGAAGCGTATTAGTCCATTTTGACTAGGGAATGATATGTAGTCTAAGCGTTGACCGATACAGCAACCTTGTTCCTTCGTGAGATCTTAATTTTGTGAGGAGACAGCGGTACTGCTGTAGTTCCCAAGCTCTGCAGTAGTAGCTTGGGTCTCTCTCTGCCGAGAGTCTTTCCTGGTAGCGGGGGCGAGTCGGTTCGCGGAAATGAAAGTTTGTTGTCGAAGACCGAACAAACTGTAGTTTATTGTGCACGGAAGAATTCGGAACATCTCCCAGATCTATGGTTGTATTTGGGTTCTTGTTGTGCCGCCCCGGAGGTGTGTTGGTTGGGTTGTCTTGGTTTGGTTTTCTGGGGTCTTACCAAAAGAAAGGTCTCACGGAGTTCTCATTCTGCTGCCTCACTGCTTCTGCATGAAGAGTTTGATAGACGCGTGTCTACTGGACCTAGGGCCACGTGTTGAGGAATGCACAGTGTGTAACACGCAGCCCGCGTCGGAGGGTCACGCGGGAGGAGGGCAGCAGCTAGCTACATCGAAGTTTGGACTCATGTAGCCATTTCGTAGCTTTTCGGGGGTTGATGATGATCCCATGCAACTTGTTCCGGCTACGTTCGGATGCTCACGAGATTGGAAACCCGGGCTGCACGACAGCGCAGCCCTGCCTGTCGCTTTCCTTCTGTTGTTTCTTTTCTTTTTCTGCCTCGTGCTTTTCGTCATGTTTTTTTCCCGTGTAATGAGATATCCCAGGCATCATGCGGATCATTTCGCGGGAACCCTAAAGATACAGCGGGAAGCAAGCAACGCCATGAACCCACCATACGGCGCAGGGCACATGGCGACCAAGAAGGGCAAGGCATACGATACTTAGTGCTTCATAGTGCGCCACAGCTGACTATCGGTACTGCACGCCACCGCCGAGAGACAGACTAGGGTCTCTCTGAGGTAGCGCTCGCCGTTGTGCTCCTTGGTGGAGGAACTCTTTGAGCCCTCCGATTTGGGGATTGTTTAGGCGCGCGGCGCGTCACGAAGGCCAACGGCTGAGCTGTGCCGTCCCGTTTCGCGGTCAAATTGCGTGCAGGGTGCGTATCGCACAGTTCTGTGTTGGTAATATAGGCGTAATGCACGACATCGGACGACCCGATGGGTTGTACTGTTGTATCCGGAAGCAGATGTCGCACGACTTCGAATTGGGTGTTTTCTGAATGGTAGTGCGTACCATTGAGAGGCTCAATCGTCCGAGACTGCTACTGTGCAACAGTTTCGTCCCGTCTGGTAGTACTCGGAGGGAGAATTTGTGTTTTAGACGCAGAGACACGTTAGAATACCGCAGAGGCTTTGTGCCGTGCGGAACGTGTGGTACGGGGGATGTCTCCCTCCGTAGGCCACAGAAATATTAATCAAGGCAATTCGAAAGAAAACAATAAAGGAAGAACTTTTCTGCCGGAGGTGGCATGCATTTTGGTTCATTTTGTGCGTATTGAGGTTGTGCCATCGTCTGCGTACAGCAAGCAGCCTGCATCTCTACAAGATCATCATCAGAGGAGGAGTTGATTCCCTTTCCTCGCGTAGCAGTGTGTGCGCCGTTTCCCCTCGACAGCGTCGTCTCTACTCTTGTTGCTTCGTCGGTGCGGCCTGCTCATGCTGGCTTCCGCCGGTTCCTCCGTATATTATTGTTGTGGTTGTTCGATGGGCTCTCGGTCGGGCCGGTGTTTGTGTTTACAATGTAGGACTATCGTGCTGTTGTAAGTTAGCCGGCTTGCTTTGGGCCTTTTCTCGCTGCAGCACATGTGCGACGCTTTGCATCTTTGATTGTCTGCTTCAAGTGGACAAAACACTGTGTGCTCACAGGCTCGGCTTGTTTCGGCCTGTCGCACGGTCTGGGAGATATGTCACATGTACCTGTGGGTGCTCAACAGTCAAGTGCTCTCTATAATCAGGAGAGTCGGGTGGACGTGCCATGAAAAGGTGTTACAAGTAGCGGCTTTAACGATTGATTGACACCGATTATGAGAAGTTGGTCGCAACGGGAACACTTTTCTTGTCAACGGGCACAATTTTTCGTCGAACGGGAACAAAACAATTTACCCCGCGTTTTTTCTGTACGCGCATGTACAGTATAGTTCACGTCCATAGTCCACACGCAGCTCCCACTTGATGCAGAACTGCTAATATCACGCAGGGGCGTCATCCCACCCTAAATGCGTAAGGATGGCACACAGCATCGGGACGGCGGTATCACTCCCTAGCGAGCTTCAACAGCAACAGCAGCACCAACAGCAACATGGGGGTTCTACTATGCGACACAGGCAGCTGTACAACAACATTATTCGCGGCTTTGAGCATCTGCTGCAACGAGGCAGCGGATGCTCGGAGCAACAGGGGCACACAGATATCGATGGTCGCGGTGCGGGATACGTGGTATGGATGCCACGCAGAGAGCAATACCAGGAGCACCGGGAGGTGTGGGATGGAGCTGGGGAACAAGGCGAGGAGGGAGAAGGGGGCAACCCGCTTGTTCTGTATGGTGGTGGTTATTACGGTCTGTTCAAGGTACAAATGTGTGGATGAACCAAACTCACCGCGCTGTGAGCACAACCGGCCACCCGCCGGTAAAACATTTGGTTGCCTCTACTGCATGTGTACACGCCAGTTGCATCGAATCGACCTCCTTGGTTGACTTTACACAGCACCCCACGTAACCATTCGATTCTGTTCCAAACGTTGAAATCGTGGGGCTGCTGCTCTGCAATTTCAGTAGACTACATAGACTACTGTAGTTCAAAGTAAATGATGTAGATGCACGTATTATGTAGACTAGGGCATGCCAGGCTCTCCTCATCTTTACTCTCCGAAGAACACCAAGAAGCGTGTAAATGTGATGACTTGATTCAGTGGTGCGGGCGTGTGGACATGCAGAACGCCGACCTCGTGTATTACATAGCCTGAGGCTGGTTTCTTGTTGCCTGCGCGGGGTATCCAACGCCGTATTGCCGACAGGGTTCAGTGTTGAGTCCTGGACCAGCAGCTCTTTAAATAGTCAAGGGTTTCATTTTTTTTCGTTTCTTGAAGCTGAAATCCTTTACTCCCAAACGATGGCGCGTTCTGCAGATGCACGCTTTCATTTGTCAAACCGTGTTGGTCGTCTGACTACATGTACATGTATGTAAACGCGCTTCTGAAATGGCAGCAAAAAAATCGATACTCACGACGTGTACTGCCGTCAGTCTAAACGGCACCTATCTATGTAGGATCTGCACACTGCATCGTTGACCGCATCAGCAGACGAACGGGACATAGTCTAATCGTAGGATAGAGTTGGCTGGGCTAATGCATAGAACTGCGAGCGGTATTGGAGTGTTGGCCAACCGACTCGAGCTATGCACCCGCTTGCCCACATCATTTCTCTTCCATCGCTCCCGGCCTTCCTCAAAGGGCGGCTTGGAGCAAGCTCTTGGCTCCTGCGACTGTCTTTCACCACCGCTTCGGTGGATTAGAATCCCGCTGGAAATATTGCCGCCGCCCATGCCCAGAAGCTCAACCGCTGCCACCCC